CTTCTCGGTGTGGGGTTTTGTGTTTTTTCCCGGTGAATCTCCTGGCTCAGACCGCGGCAGCACGAAACGCCGTTACCGGCAACATCCAAGCGCGTTCGTGCGTTCTGTCGTAAGAGCAGGCTTGGCCGTTTCTAGATAGGCCTTGTTTGGGTGTTTTTTTTACGGTTTGCCGCTCCAAATCCAGGAGGAACTGAATGAATTGAACTAACAGCTTCCCGCACGCTGTGGAGGTTTGGTATTTCTGTGCGAGGTGCCCCGGTTGGGATGGGACACGAGAAGTGGGACAGGTCGCAGCTGGCACAGAGGACGCTGACGGGTTGCCTCCGCTCCGTCTCCTGGAATACAAAAACTGAGGGGGCATCAAGCGTTGGGTACAGTAGCTGGAACAAATTCCGATGGCTCGCCTGCCAGTAGGTATTTGTGGAATTTCTTGCCAAAGGGTGTAAAGGCAAAAAGAAAGATCCGCTACGTTTACCTACACTAGGTGAAAGGAATCCCCAAACCACAAATAACTGGAGGCAGAGAGCACTTGGCAGAGGTATATGCCCTCTACACACATATTTTTCCTGTGGCATGTCTTTATCCTGGCTTTGGGGGACAGTACTGACTGAACCTTTGGTCTGGACAACTGGGGTTATTCTTATATGCTTCCTGAAGTTTCCTGCATATCCAGTAAGGGTGGGAACCTCACCAGGAATCTCTCTTTTTCCACGTTTTTCAAAAAAATGCTGAGAGTTCTATCCCATTATTAAATTTTGGTCAAAGAAATCAGTCTGTTCTTAAGTTCTGGGCAGAGAGAATGACAAGAAACTAAATTAGCCATCATCTCTTAGGAGAAAAGCATTACAAGATCTCTTACAAAAAACATAGTGCTGTATTTGAGATGGAAAATAAGAATTCACTTTCTGGGAAGTACAGAACCTCTTCCCTGAGTCAGTGGTCATTTTGGGTTGGTCTTCCAATTCTGTTGTGCCTTTTATGACAAATGTGTCTTAAACTCTATCTAGAGGACCAAAAAAGCCAAATCCAGTAATTCTAAATATGGTGCAGTTAAGTGAGTCTTTTTGTTGTTGAATTTCTGAATTGTGTTTATTCTAAGCTTGTTTTCTTTTGTTTTTATAAATTTTAGAATTATCCAGCATGTCTTTGCTGAAAGAGAAGGACAGACCAATTGTTCAGCTGTTATTTAACACTGGCACTTGCCCACGATGTATTTTGAGGTTCTGCTGCGTGGGATCACAGACGCTTTATAGACATCCGTACAAGGTTTGTTCTTTGTATTCCTAATTAGCATGTGTGAACACATGGATGCAGTGTCCTTTGTGCTACCTTGGAGGAGAAGGTGGTTGTATTCTTGGACTCTTTGCCCGAGAGGAAAATGCTTTGCAAAATGAGTTATGAAAAGTGGCTGCTGCTGCACTGTGCAATTTTGAAAAATTACAAGAATCATAGAATGTAACAGCTGTTGTGGTTTAAATGTTAAGCTCGACTCTGAAAGTTGTTGCCTGTTGCCCTGAAAACACCAGAAGACAGGGCATGTTAGCTTCTGCATAGCGTGGCTCTGTCACTTTTGAGGCTATGGCTGTTCCCTGTGTTATTTTTCCTTTTTTAAGTAACTATTACATACTTACTTATAAGTGTTAATTCTCTATGCTGTTTTTTATTCTTTTACGTCTCTACCTAATTTTCCTCTGAGTTTTAACAACACAGTAACTACTGTCTTTGTTACTGAAGACCTTTTAATAAATGTTTCTTTCTGAACTGTGTCTTGCCTCTATCTCTCATTCTTTCTAAAATTCGGACATGCAGGTAATTCTTCTCTCTCCTCTCCAGCACATCGTTTAATTTTTGTAGGCATCTCTCTTTATATGAAGTTTTTCCTCTTATGTATTCGACTTCACCCTCACCTGCGTCTGCATTCCTTTTCTTTTCATGCTATACTAGCCAACTCTCTTCCTAGTCAGATGGGCTAATGGCGTTGGAGGAATTAAATTCTTGCATAATCAAAATGACAAAAAGGCAATGAACATCTCTTTTCATGGAATAGCGATGGGGCCAAAGATAAATGCGTTTGTGCAAGTCAGGTCTGTAAAAAGTTTGCACTCTTGGATGATAAAGCAGTCTGTTGAGCAAAATTCAATTTCTCAGTATAATATTTAGAGAGAAGTACAGCTTGGAGCCTTTTTAATGTGTAGCTTTCTTTTGGTATAAATTCCAGGTTATTAATTACATATGCTAAAGCTAAACTGGAAGGGTTAGTGCTACCTTTTAGAATTGTGTTTCTGCAGCATTGGAGAAAAGAAGATTGAACAACAACAGCATGATTCCTCTGTTTGTATTAGGATTTGATGAAGGATTTAAAAGAATTTCTGCAAAATAATCAAGAAAATGAAGATACAGTTTGTTTTGATCCGCCTTGTAAAAGACTCAGACTGAAACACACAGAAGAAGAGCCTGATGATGTGAACCACAACGGAGCGCTCCGGCAAATTCCTTCGGTTAACAATGAAAATACCGCCACAGAGAACTTGGCTGTGGGGGTTTGCAATGTGTGTTTGGGAATCCTTCAGGAGTTCTGCGAGGTGGACTTTGTTAAAAAGGTAAATAACCAGTCCTTAATCTTTATATGTGCTTTTATAGGAGCTTGTGTATGTATAGAGCTGCTAAACAGTTGAAAGCCACCAGAAAACAATCTGTTCTGAGTATTTTAAATGTAGGTGGTGCCCTTTAACTACCTACTGCTCACTGACAGCATTTGCGTAAAGCAAACTGTGCAGCTGGGCGAGAAAAGTGGTTGGTTTCACTGTATTTTACTCAGGCCTTGTCATAATGTAACTTTTTTAAAAAAAAATTTAGTGCAGGAGTGCATTTTCCTAAGAAAAGGACTAACAGATACATAGTTACAGATATTTAGGCAGTAACCTGAGGTTCAGCGCCTTAGATTACAAGGAAAACATCACTGTAAGTGGTGACCCCTCTTCCTTTTTCATATACGATGGGAATTTGAGGAGGCATCAGCTGCTGCGCTCTTCAGCTTAACTACTTGTTCCTAATACCGTACGATCCTGTCTTACTCTTTAGAAAGCCACCGAGGGTGAAAATGTTTTGGTTATACAATAGATTGTAGGTAACAGAGAAAATAAGCGTTAGGAGAGGGTGTGTGCGTAATGAGTGTTGCAGACATCATCTCTGAGCAATAAAATTGCTTCTGTGAAAAACTGAAATATCAGCTAGAAAAATCACACTGGCATTTCAGCTGTTAAACAGAATTGTAATAGGAAAGGATTTGATTTAATAACAAGAATATATCTAAAAATGGGACTGAACAGCATAGCACGTAGTTCCTGTTGTTGCAGTGCATGATGTTTCTTTTTTGTTTCCATTGGCAGACTGTATCTGTTTTTACAGAATCCACGGCTAAGACCTGTTTCAATGGTTATTCTCTTGACAAGCAATGGAAAAGTCTGACAGCTTTTGTTAAGGCACCACAAAACCTGATTATTTTATACGGAAATTTCCTTATCTGATCTGTTGGTTGCACGTTGAATTTGTCTTCAACATTCACTAAAATCACTGACGCTTTGGATGACTTCTCCACTTATTTAAACTTACTTCCAGCAGGGAAATCTAGCCATCAGCTCCTGCTTGCCTGCTTTAAAATATCGCATGTGTGTTTGGGTTCTTACTTTTTTATGATGAAGAGTGATGATGAATTAATAGTGTAGATACCTGTTTGTTTCTGTCTTATCCCAGGATCTTAAACATTTTTACTGCCATAGAATTGTATCACTGCCCTGAAGAAAGGTGCTCTGAGCCAGCTGTTGTAGCCTTTGGTCCCTGTGGTGTAATTTGTTGCACTAAGATTTTATTATTCAGTTGGTCTTAGCCTTAAAATGGTGAGTTTGGTTGTTTCATGGTTGTTAGGGATTAGTCTGGTTTGTATGTTCAGCATCTATCTGAACATGTATTAACACAAATTTACAGTGATCATGCTAGAATAAAGGATATCTTAAAAGATTATCAACTCACTTCCATTGCTGAAGTTTGATATTGAAATCTTTCTTGTACAGGTGTGCCAGAAGGTTAATTCTGCTGACTACCAGTTCACTAGTTTTGTATTTTCTGTGTCGCTACCCCCACAGCTGTCTGTTAGGGAGGTAAGTGTTTACAGATATTTCTTCATAACTTGAATGCATGTTAAAGAAAGTAACTGTGGAAGGTACAAGCTGGAGGTGGTTTGATTTTTAATTGCTGTTATTTAAAAAACTCCAAAACACATCCTTGAAGTGAAGTCTGCTCTCCCCTTCCTTGTCAGCAAGTATTATTTTAATTAATAAAGTGCCTGAGTCGCTTTGTTTTTCAGCTAGCCCGGGAGTTACTTTACATCTGAAAATCTAAAAGGAGTTCCTTTAAACCCTTGGTGTATTGTTCCCTTTGGTACAGATGCCAGCTCTACTTTGTGGATCTTCTCAGAGAAGGAACTGCACAGCTGGTGCTTTTACTGAAGTAATGATAATTGGTAGTGCAGAATATAAATGAAGGAATTTGAAGATGAACTCTTCAACTCTTCAGCATTTTAAATGATGTGAAAATACACATTTTAATAGTCACCTGTCTTGGGCATCATTGAAAGTTTAGGTTTGTAAAATTACACCTTATGGCAGTTGTAAAACTACTCATTTTGATGGCAATTTAATAAAAATCACATTTTTTACATTTTGGTAATTTAGTTATAGGGGATAATGATGATATGGAGGAGCATGTAACCCTCTTTTTTTTTTTTTTAAATTGAGAGAGAATACTAAGCATCATATAACTTGATCAATAAAGCAACATTTTTTGCTTAGTTATGAGTTCTATGATATTCTGCTTTCTGATACAAAGTGATGCAAAAACACTGTTCTCAAGGGCAACGTACATCTTTACACTAGATTTCTGCCGTAGTAAGATGTCGTAGAAGCTTCAGTGAACATGGCAGAAAGAAGCGTAGGTGGTCTTGGGTTTATATATAAACCTGTGGTGAGGTCTGTTCTCATCCCACACAGTTTGATTGTTAAATAATCTATTACACTTTTAGTGGTGATTTGTGCTGTTCTGGCATCTCGTGCCAATCTTCTTGAACATAAGATTCTCTACTGCCAATCTGAAATTTAGCATAGTTGCTGTATTTGCGTCAGCTGCCACTGCGTCTGGTAAAATAATACCAGAACCAATTGCTTTGTGCTTTCTGGCTGGATAAACTGCCCTTATTCCCATTTAATTTTATGGTCATCCAAAAGATGAGATATGTCAAAAAAGCAGTTCCAGGCTAGGTGAGTATATGGATGCATGCACGTTTGCCCACAGCACTCTGTAAAACTCCAAATATAGGTCAAACTTACTCTGACTTTATGCCTAGTGTAAGCTTAGGTGTTTAAAAAAGCGAAGCCTTATTATTTTTAGGGTACTGCTGGTCAGATCTTTTCTGTTTCCAGTCTATGTTTGCTAGTCCTTACTGAGACCTCGCTGTATTCAATGCAGCCTCAGTGACCAAAACCCAAAGTGTTGCACAGAATTTTTTGGCTGAAGTCCCAACTGCAGTTCCTGTGATAGCCAAGTTCTTAATACATTTTAATTTCCATTATGCAGCTGTAGCTTGACAGCTGTAGTTTATCTAGCTTAAAAAGAATTTAGTTTTGTTTTTTTTTAATCCATGGCATAGCTATGTAACAATGGAGGAGAGGAAAGAAAAGTTTGATGCTACTCACCCTGCTTGTGTGTCTTTGCCAGAAAGTCTCGGTAGAGGGTGTTATTGCATTGCAGTTCTGGCTCAGGGATGTTCTCACGCTAACCTGAACAAGCCGGGCAAGTGTTTCTGTCTGGTTTTGAGGCAGCCTTGGCTGTAAATGGAAGAAAAAAAATAATAGTTTGCTTCAGAGAGTTCCTCTTGCTGGTTGAAATGATGATACGCTGAGTCTGTGTGGACGGGGAAAGCTGCCTTGGCAAACGGTAGAAACCTAGATTTATTACTTTATAATAATCTTGTCTCCCAAGTGCAATAAATTACTAGTTTGGTAAAAAGGATGAGTTGTAATTTTTAACTGTTCGTCTGTTTCATTCAAGGTATCTTGTCCTTATACTCAAGCGAACAGTGCTTACTACATCCAAGGGGAAAAAAATTCTGATGTGGGTCCAGAAATGAATAGGCAGAGTGAGATGAGTGAGTAGGAAGCTCAGAAACTAGATTTTTTTCTCTTTGGAAACAATTTTGGTTCATCTGCAAGCAGGTCTGCAATAGGGAGTTCCTGCCGTCCCCTCTGTTCCAGCCCTTCAGCCTCACCAAGTGCTAAACCAGCTCTTTGTGTAGCTGTGCTCTAACTGAAGGGGTGAAAATGGGTGATTGTTGAGAAAGAACGGCTTTAAAATCATAGGAGTTTATTTCCCACATATTTCTTTATCACTTCACAAAATAATTGGTAAAAACAGTTCCTATTTTACAGTTACAGAAAAACAGAGAGTAATATAATATGCTAAAATATCTCAGAATGCTTTGTGTTGGAAATAGGCCTTTTGTTAAATTATATTTATTAATTCTATTCACTGTATAAGAACATACGTCATTTTATCATGAAAGGACACCCCAAAGACAGCCTCTCTCCTAGTGACCTTTTGTATGACACACAGGTTTTCTCTGACTACTTTCTAACACAAAATCAGGAACTGCCTTTTAATGTTACCTTGAGCTCATTTCATTATGACAGTTGTCATTCTGCCAAGTCTAAAATGTATGGTAGGAGCTGCAGAAGAGCGGGACATAAAATTTACATTTGCATAGTATTTGTATCTGTAATGCAGAGAAGCTATCACCTCTTTCCACAAGTAGGATATTTGATTAAAATAAATCATAAATACAGGAGTCCCAAGTTTATGCCAGACCACTGTATTAGAATATGAAGTGAGTCATGCCCTTCAAAAGGGTGACTGTTAGCTACGTCTCTAGTCTCAGTTGTGATCCATCATCCTGGTACTTGCTACAAGGACATTGATGCAAATAGCATCTGTAGTCATTACTCCCTGTAGGACTGCGTATACCTCATCGTGGAATTCCCCATCTCTAAGCTCTTTTCTAATACAGTGAGAAAATGCTGTGGCTGGGATTGCACTTGGTATTTCAGCTGTTGCCTCTGTGATCCCTCAGATAGCATTGGAATAATATCCTGCAGCTTCTAATCAATATAGTGCCTGAGCTCCTGTATTTCAGAAATATATTTGCTGCTAAGCATGGCCCTGCAGGCTTGAGCTCTGTAATGAGCATTTTTCATTTTCAAACCACTTCACAAACATAAAGTAATTATGAAGTAGAGGGATCTGATCCCCTGCTTCACCTACAGCTGGGAGAGAGTGGAGAGGTTTGGCTTGCTTGGTGGTTGAATGTAATTTGGAATTTGGGATCTTTTGGCTTCTGTGCTCACAGTACCCTCATCTATTGTTTCCTCTTAAGGGGGTGAGAAATTTCTTGAATTCTCTTTCAGTTTTGAGGTCAAGAGAGAGGAGATGAAATTTGACCTGTGGTCTCATTCTAGTGTAGCTACTTGTATTAGAAGTTTTCTCTGTTTTCTAGTTGTACCCCCATAAAATGGGGGAAAGGAGTGAGATTAGCCACCCGACTGACTACCAAACCTACAAGTGCTTTAAATCGGGGCGTATTAGATTCTTTTTAAATTGGCATTTGTCAAATGCAGATTTCTAGACCCAGTTCTGTGGTTGTCATATTCTCTAGCTGAGAATTATGTTCAAGGACTTTCAGTTGGAAGCTATTTTTATTTATGATTTTTATCTGGTTTATTATACAAACAAGATTACAATATACTTCATGGTGTTTTGTGAAGCAGTCTTACTCATACTGTCTGCATATGCAGGCTAATGAATCACAGTGAATTTCAGTAAACCTTATTCCATCAATGCAGCTGTTTTTTTTTTGCTCAATAGCGTGCAGTTTCGTGTGTCACACACCTAAGAAAGTTTTTGTCCTCCCTCTGCCTTTCCTCTTTCCCCTTAATATTTCTAGCAGTGTTTTTAAGATTCCCTCATTCTTTCTGGTGTACCGAAGAAAGGAAAATAGACATTTTTTTGATTCAGGTTCCTCTATCAGCATGTAAAAGAGATCGATGATGTGGTTCCTTCTGATATGAATGAAAAGATTATGTGATCCTGGCTCTGCTCCTGAAGTTTGATCCATGTTTTCAAACCTCTTCATTAGAATTATTTCCTTGACAATAGAAAGTAATTCTTTCAACAGGGTTTGAGAGGAGGTTTTTCTTAAAGCACTTTATACGAAGAATGAAAGGCAGGGAAGGGATTTAAAATTCTGAAGAATTTGCATCAGTGGTGTGCACTGTTTTTGAGATACAACCATATACACCCCTGCAGTGTCCAAAAGAGTTGGTGTGACAAGCATATGGAATCACCTTTCCCTGACACTTTACTAGTAGTTTGCAGTCCCCAAATTGAAACCCACTTATTTGGATTTTTGGTTTTTTTTCACTGTGGTTGTTTCAAGCCAAACAACTTGATTTTTGGAATTCAGCTTCAGTGAGGATGGTGAGACTGGGTGTCCAGACTCTGTATTGATAGTACGGGTTCTATTAGTTAAGTGGCATCTTGCCAGTCTTAATGTGTTTTGTTGTTATTGTTGTTAGTAGAGGAAGAACTGAAAATGTTACTGGTGTTGTTGCTTCCTTGTAGGAAGTTTTGATGGGAGTTTTCTTCTTATTATTAATTGCTTTTATACCAATAGGCATTACGTTGAAATTGAAATGTTTTAGACATCTTCTGAATACTTGTGTCAAACGTTAATTTTTTTTGCACTTAATTAAAGACCCAATAAGCCATTTGAGGTCAAAGTTAAAATTCTGGTTAGATGTAGTGCCCTTTAGTTTAGTCAGGTCTGTTCTCATTGTGCAGAGAATGGCAGTCACTCTTGGCCCACACAGAGGCAACATTTAAAACGCTAAACAATTGCAACACTGAAGTAGTAGATTATTTTGTAGAGTCACAGTGTATCGGTACAAAGAAGTGAGTGAGACTGCAGGAAGATGCGCCTCTAAAATGTTTGGGCCCCCAGAGCCCAGTGTGGGAAAGATAAGCTTTTGGAAGCGTTCGGCCTAAGTGATGTTTGGAAAACTTTTGATGGTTGTTCAAGTCAGTTAGTGTTGCTCTGATTCCATGGGTGTTGCTTCTTTGTGCCTCTCTTTCTATTTTTCTCTTGTCCTTTCCTACCACGGGTAATTTTAGTTCTGCTTTTGACCTTTGTTGCAACCATTGTTATTTCTTACACTGCTGAGTTCCATTTGTTGGTCAGGACACCTAAGTAATGGTTCATTGTCTCCTTTCCTGGGCAGTGTCTTATCTAAGGCATCAGCTACATTATATTTCTTTACCTATGTAAAGGCTGCTAGAGGAGAGGAGTAGAGTTTGAGGAAGTATTTACAGACCGAGGACAATCAGGCATTAGAGCAGATTGTCCGGTGAGGTGATGCAGTCTCCATTACTGAACATTTTTAAGAACTCATTGGACAGAGGCCTGAGCAACTTTTCTTCATTTCATAGCTAACCCTGAAAGGTTGGATAGAGACCTCCTGAGGTCCCTGAATTATCCTACGATAACATATGTAAAGTAAATATTATGTCTTGGAACTTCTGCTCAAAGAAGTGTGTGAGGAGCTGCAGAAGATCGTGTTCATGGAGGATCTGCACAAAGTGACTGAGGGTCAACAGGGAAGTGAAGAAAGAGAAATCAAGGTTGAATTGGCCCATGAATCTCAGATCATAACTTCCAGCCATTCCTACATATGCTATGTGAGAAAGAATTGTTAGCAAACTTGAGCGTTTGTATTAAAAGCTCCCCCTGATTTCTAGAATTATTCCATCTCTTCCTCAACTTTCTCATATTCAGCCTGTGTCTCCTGAACTAAGTGGTGTGCTGTAAATAAGGGGCAGTCCTCAGGAAAAAGGTTTGTGACCAAGTATGTCTTTTATTTAATTTTTTTTTCATAAGGGATGATACATGCATTAGAATTCTTTTTTAAATTTATATGTCAAATCAGTTTTCATATACCATGCATTTAGACCCTTTTTTTCCCCATTTCTCCTTGTAACAGATAACTGCTAGTTGCACTTGACTTAGCTGTCAGAGTCTTTCTAGGTAAAGTATTAATAGCAAGTTTCAAAGTGTGTTTAATGCAGCCTGATATTTTTTTTAAGGCCAGATAGGATTTGAGGTGAATTGCAAAGTGAGATCTTATGAATAAATAGAAATGCCAATTATATCTTTCTGCTTCTAAAGCAAATCCTAATTTAAATCCTAATATTTCTGTTTTCTCTTGAATTTTTAAAAGCATTTTTCCTTCTACTGTCTCTCAAATTGTTGGGAGTTTTGAGCCTTAATTCACTTAGGTTTTTTTTTTTCTTTTCTCTCTTCTTCCTGGGCATGGCTGGTGACCCATAGCGTGCTGCTTGGCTGCTGGTAAAACAGGAAATGGGGTGAGTAATTTCTTCTGGCAACCCTCGTACCACTTCTGTGAGACTTTTCCAGATTTAGAGAAAGGAGAGATACTCTTACTATAACTTTATTCCAGCATAGTAGAAATGAGAAACCACTTAATACAGTGGACCTGCTGAGACATGTATGTTAAGAGAAAATTTTAACCAAGCAATTAATCCTATATTTTCAAGGTCAAGACAATTGCTTTCATATAAAGGTACTTCTGCTTACAGTTGTGGAATATGTAGACTGACTTCCTGTGTCCTTGGCCAAGATTTTAACTTTGTACCTTCAAAACTAAGCAAAAGGAAATTTAGAAAAGGAAGTTGCCATCATTTTTTGAATTATTATTATTATTACTCTTGTTCATACTTTTTGCTATCTGTCTGACTTACATAGACACCAATTATTTATATAAATGTTGAGCAGGCAAGAAGCTGGTTTTATAGTTTTGTCTGGTTGTCCAGTTTACTTGACTTCTTACGAAGGAGAAGTCGGTGGCTGTTTTTCGTGTGGTATTTTATTTTTACCTGGTTTGATCTTAGTTAGGGTTTCTATCTCTTTTTCTTTATGGTGTGATTATATCTAGAATGTGGCGTTTCAACTTGAAGTGCAGGCTGTCTGTCCAGCTGTCCAGCTGTGAGTGAACTTAGTGGTCCTGAGCAGTGCCGTGATGCCATCTGTGAGCCAGAATCTTCTTGTACAGGGAAGACATAACGAAATAAAAACCTCTTCATTTGACCACTGTATCAGGTTTAGCTTATGTTAATAGCCACTGAGAACTGTTAGTCAGATCATAGTGAAAAGTCAGGAGGGTAGCGAGACAGATGTTAGTGCAGCGGTTGCAAATTAGATTTGACTCTTCCTTTTCATACCTCACTGTTTTGGAATCAATTCAAATGCTTGATTTTTTTTTGCCTACTCCAGGACATTCCCACTTCTGGCCAAATGAGAACGTATTAGAGACATTCTGAACAGATGAATTGTCTTTGTGGGCAAGAGGAAAGAAATCCACTAGTCTCAAAGTTAGTTAAGAATACTGAACTAGTCTTTGGTGGACTCAGTCTTGGCTGGAAGTGCCATTTCAAGATATTCATGAAAAGCTAGACTAAAATATGGTGAATCACTTTCCACTTTGAGACTACTTTAAAAGCAATTGTTTCATTAAATTGCTTGAGAGAAGATGAGGCCCTGGAGGGCAAGTATTGCCCACATAGCTTACCATTGGTGCCATTTGTCTAGGAGGACTTTGTGCTTTGCTCTGTGAGTTCCCAAAAAAGTGGTCTGAGATCATACGCCGGCGTCCTTACAGGCACCCGCGCCTTTCAGCTTCTCTCGTAGGCAGAGGTGCAGAAGTCAAGGCCTGGTCTTGTACCTACAGAGGCAGTTGAGCCTGACCCAGCAAGGTCAACAGAGATTGTGATCTGGGCTTTTCCTTTTAGGAATTTCTGCTCACTGGAGTTCATGGCCTCATTAATGAAGGACTATATTGCCCTTTGAACAATAAAAATAAGTCTAACAAGATATTTTTATTTTTTTTAAACAGAGGATTTTTGTGTCTCTCTCTTTCTCAGCTCTTCTCCAGGTAGACCCTGGAAGGACTTTTGGAGCTTTTGATCTACCATGAAGCTAATGCATGAGTTTTCTCACTGCATGTTTGTTTGCACAGAAAAAAAATTTAAAATCTCAATTTAAATAGTAGTGAAAAAACCAGTGGCAAACAGAAACAGGGCAAACCAAGATATTGCTTAGAGGGGATGCTAGGCAGGAGTTTCCTTAGCAAATAGCATAGGTGCTGATCTGCAGGATCCAGATACTCAGTTTACTTAAGCTGAACTAGACGTTGATGTACTATCAGAAGGATTTTGCCTCCATCTGCACATACCTTGTGTCTTTTTTTCTGTTAACATAAGAAGTGCGTGTGTGACCACTGGGAGAGGTGATCAACTCACTGATTTAACTGAAGAACAAAATGGGTTTTGGTGGATTAGTGTTTGCTTTAAATGGGATCGACGGACTGGTATTACTTACGCTGCTGTGGAGCACCAGCTTGTAATTGCTGGCAGAAATGCACAGCCAGGAGCAGGGAGGAGGCAACAAAGTCCTACCAGTTCTTGAAGGAGTTACACCTTTAGCTGCTCTCTGCTAAGCTCTGCTGTGTTTATTGCAAAACATCGTACTTGGGATCCTGGTCTGGCCTTGATGTTTCCTCAAAACTCCTGTTAATTCAATACAAAGATTTGGTGCATTACAAGAGGTCTTGGAACAGCCTTTCATTCTTTCATGCCATGGTCGTGTGCTTAGTACTTTTGTTCTTTTTCATTTGTGCATTGCCTGTTTACCTGGCACTACGTAAGTTTATCTTGTAATATTATATGTCATGTATCTATCTTTGACAGACCCCTGTGCAAGTTATTATTTCTTTGTGATTCAGAAATCTGGGCCTTTCCTTGGCAAAGGATGACATTGTTCAGCTGAAAGAAGCTTATAAGTGGATTATTCATCCCCAGTTGGCAGAAGAGTTGCTGATGGAAAGGTGTTGTATAAATAAGAAAACACTTTTTTTTTTCTCTGTGTATTTTTTGCTTTTCTTTATACGTGCTTTTGTGTGTGTGTGTATGTATTTATACACATACATATATGAGGGGGGAAAAAAGTAAAATTATGTACTTTTTTTCCCCTCATTAACAGATAAACAAGTTGCATTGCTCTTATATTCACTGTAGGGGGAAGCAGGGGGAAAGTTCTTTTAACCAAAGATCTCCAAGTCTCAGTACCAAGGGGTCCAGTCTTCATTTAGGTACTCATAGATCATTGCATCTTCTGAAACCATCATAGTCTTTTGTTAAATCTCTTGCTCTTGTGCTGCCATCCTCTTTTTATCAATGAGACTTTTTCAGTTTTCTCATTTCCCAGGATCTCTTTTTCCAGAGGCTAAGGAATGCTCACACATTCCTTCTTTGCTCTCCTGTTACCACCAATACTATTAACTGTGCTGTGAGATAATTTGTTCAGGTTGTTAGCATATTAAATTCCATGGAAAAAATGTATTTCTGAAACATGCTGAAAGAGGAAAGACTGGTCCGTGTTCATTTTAATGATTGCTGCAGATACGCATGTTGGAACCTGCAATACCTGCAAGTAGGCAGTAGAAATGTTTTTTCAAACCCTGGTTTCAAACTTTCTGATTCTGATTAATATTCTTAAAATGTTTCTGAAAGACACTGACTGAATGTGATGTTTAGATGTTGCCAGATAAATTCAAGAACACCATCATCTTGAATGTAAAATTTCTACAAATGTGGCTAAAATTCCTGCTGAGGACAAGCCTGGCTGACCCCAGCTCAGGACTAGACTCCTTTAGTCTTTACATTGATTTGTCAGCTTCTGTAATAATTACAGATTGTCTCTTCCCAGGAGTGTTCATTGAAAACATCCTTTTTATCTTACTGAAGAAAGAAATGCTCAGTTACCCATAAGATGATCCAAGAAGAAAGAAACTTCTTGCATACCAAGTTAGCAAAAGCTCTGCAACACTTAGGCACTGAGCCACTCCAGACATCGTCGTACCATAAAAGTTACTTTGTCTAGTGCTATATATCTACGAGGCACTTGAATATTAGCCAATCTTTTCAATAGCCCTCTTGAGATATTCTGGTGTCTGAATAACAGAAGTAATGAGCGTTGTTTGCCCAAGGCCAGGGAGGGAATTGGGGGCAGAACTGAGATTACACTAGAGTTTCTGGTCTAGCTGTCAATCCTCTAGGACACGTTGCCTTTCTTCGCCCCAAGGCCATCCAGGCATTGCAAGCGAAGCCCCTGACAAATTTTTATGATGGTGACTACTACAGGGTTTTTATCTATGCACTGCTCTCCCAGAAGGCTTGCGAAGTTTAGTGATGACCGTAATAGGCTTTGAGTATACACTGTCTCTGACTCGGTTTCCCCTGTGCAAAATGGGGCCAGGATCTATGATGTGTAGGTCACTCATGGTTTTGAAGTGCTCTCAGATAATCTTTAGTTACTCCAGAAATGCAAATGCTGTTACTCTTTAGATGATGTTGTAGAATAAATGGGTTACTTTTGTCTACCTCTTTGTTGTTTTCCCAATACTACAATAAGAATGCTTGAGAATATCCTCGCTGTTTATTTAAAAAAAAACATTACCTCCTTCTCTCTTTTTTTTTTTTTAGAGTTTGTTTGAAGTTAGTGTGGTCTTTGCTCACCCAGAAACAGACGAGGAGTGCCATTTCCTGTAAGTTTTTATATAAATAACAAAAGATCTTTATCTAAATATTGTGCAACATTGTTGGTTAAGATTTGCTACAGATGAGAATGTGTAGTGTTTATAAACTAGAATGGGGCCTGCATCTAAACTTCCTCATATTCTGCCAGAGTTGCAGAGCTTAAAGTTACACCATCTCTGGTTCATTCTGTGCTTTAAAGCGAAGAAATAAAATAATCCAGGATTTTGATTTGAATTGGAGGGAGAACAACTCAGATAAGGTGTTCAATTTCAATCCTTTTCAAAGTCATTCCCCTCTTTAATATAGCCATATAATTTTTAAAAATTACATCCAAACCATGTAGTTGCTGGTGGGGGAATCTTTTGAGATCATGCCTAGGTTTTCCTGCTCTTAGAGGACACGTGAACGGGAAGGAAGGCGTTGAAGTGAGTTAATCCAACCTAGCTGGTTGATTAAAACAAACAGAAGTTTCTTGACCACAACACAGGATTTGGCCTGGCCCAGTAGGGCATCTGTACACACAAAGAAGCAAAATATTTCTGTGAATTTAGCTGCCATTTAATCTGATTTCTCAAAATCTAGGTTTAGTATATTCTGAATAATTAGGTTCACTCTTCCTGTTTGCTGATGCTTCCTGGAAAACTGAAGTTTCACTCTGTTTCATCACTTGTGTTCCTATTGCAAGTTGAGCCTTAGCATAGAAACAGTCTCAGTGTAGACTTCTCTGCTGCGTAGTGGATTCATCTCCAGACTAGAGATTTCCTTTGCAGCCTTTGTATATTTCCCCAGTTTTACCCCTTCTGGTTTTGGTTGAATGCCTACTGTGCTGCCTGCTTTGCATGCTTGGTGACACACCAGGTATTAGGAAGAATTGATTACTAGCATTTGCTGAACGTCTTTCCTTTCCAGCTTCTTCAAGACTGGCCAAAAAGGGGAGAAAGTAGTAGGGCCAAACTACAATTCTAAATAATAGTACCTGCAACCCTGTAAAAATTGAAAACTTTCTGGATCCTGCACCCTTTTGCTCTTAATTATTTAATTTTACTTAATGAATTTCTGTTTTCTGTAGTGTTCTTCCTACCTCTGAAACCTGGCAGCTCTTATTTTTAGCTCACCCTTTCATGCTTTTTGTGACCTTTCAAAAATGCTGATGCCAAACATGTTGTGGTGCTAGCAGGAATAGTTTTTAGAGGTGAAAGCTGTAAAGAAGTTCCATTCCACATTCCAACTACTCAGGCTTATTCCACGTGACTTGACAATATCCCTTTATTTGCCTTCTCTTTGTAGCATACTTAAACAGCAGTAACGGTTTTAGACATTTTTTCTGAAGGAACAGCATATTGCCTAATTCAATTACGTAGTAGTTTCTCAGATATTGAGGGATTCTGCATAGGTGAACGGCCAGCTCTGGGCATATTCCAAGGCAGTGGTTTAGTTTCAGTGTAAATATGATAAAATTGGCAATTGTCACGGCTTTAGTCATGACAGTCATGTTTTATGTGGAAGCAGAACAGGACCTTGTCTCAACCTGGAGAAGGCCTCCAGGTATGCTTTTAGGTGGAATTTCCAAGTACAGCATCTGCAATTTCTCATCCTTTGAGCTGTTCCTACGCAGTTATGTGTAGGTAGGTGTGCTACAATGACCATTGGTTTGATGTGGAAGACTGAATTTGCTCTTGGTAGCTTATATTTGAGGATTTGTGTTGAAGGTTATACTGAAATTCTGGAAGAGGGAATTTGTGAGGTTTTGCATCACAAACTGGCCAGACGAGATGCTTGCATAGAAATAGCAAGCAGTCAGACCTGCTTCCTTATAGTCTAAAGTGGTTAGCAAAGCATCAAAAAGCACCAGCAAGAACTGATAGATTGTGTTGTAGGGTAGAAATCATCTCTAACTGCTTACATAGAAATCCACTAATGGGAAAAGCAACTTCCTCTACAGTACTCAGAAGAAGTTTATCACTGACTTGGCTTTCACTTTCATGAAACAGCCAATAGTTTCCTTTTGAAGAGGCAAATCGCAAGTGGTACTGAACACCTGGGGTTACTTTTCCTATAGTAAATTGAATTTTCCTATCCAGAAGCAGCAGTTAGAACCTCTGGTTTGTCATGTGCATCGTCTAAGACCAGCAAGTATAGATTTCAAGATGTCGGTGAATCTTGCACAGAAATTAAACATTATTCGTGACCTTTATTGAGGAGGATTGGAAAGCCAAACTTCTTGTGTGCTTTTCCGTCCCATCTCAAAGCTGAGACACATTTGTGTTGGTCAGAGCAAAAGAGGCTTACAGAACTTTGCCCATGATTTCTCTCTAGATCAAGCAGTGCACGCCTTCTGCCATTTGAGGTTTAGGATAAGGTTTATTTTAAAATCAGCTCTGTGCTAAGCTGTGGAAGTGAGATACTCGACACAGTGGTACAAAGACCACGTACGTGCTGTGCTTGTAAGTCTATTTGTTTTCCTGTAAGAGTAGCAGCTAATTTTCACTTCTGTATTTAGAGCCACAGCCTGTCCAGACTGTTTCAAACCAGCAAAGAACAAACAGGTAAGAGCTTGTAATTGTTGTATTTTCTTCTCTGATATTCAGAATTTCAGAGCGGCAGCTACAATGAAGAACTTACCTGGATATTCAGTCAGTGTTTAATGTCTGATTTTCCTTCATCAAAAAATCCCTGTAGTTTTCAATTTTCTGAAAATAAAGTTGCCTCCTGTATTCATTTAACATTTCTGTGCTTAGGAAGACTGAGAGATTGGTGCTTTTCTTTAGGTTGTTCAATTTCCAGACTGTCTAAAGGCCATAATTTTAGGAATATTCTCTGTAAATACTTCCCTTAGGATCTAGGAATTTGATTGTCATGCATTAGAAGTAGCATAAAAGATGATCCTCGAGCTCTGTGTGGGTGAAACAGTTCAGATAAGTCACATTGTGAAGATGAGATCCTGCAGCCAAAGGAGAGACGATGACATTGCAGTTGATGTCCTCTGAACTGAATGAGTGATACAATACATATCAGGATGGTTTTATCCTGCCTATCCCAGGTGGGAGGAGAGGAAGAAAGAAAAGGAACCTTGCCACTTGTTGCAGACCCTGGGTTCTCACAGTCATTGAGGGAAGAGGGGACATGTAAGAATAATGGGGAGAAACCGATATAACTAGGACAGTTGGTGCAGTCAGAGGGAGAACAGGTAACTTCCATCAGAAACCTATGCGAGTCCTTTTATTCTTTCTGGTGAAGAGTCTGCTGGTGTTTGGCAGAGGCAGTCTGACCCAGTAATTCTGCCTACTCTACTCCACCTGGCCAATACATGCAAATCTTTTTTTTTTTTTTAGAAGGATTGTGTCATAATAACTCGCTGCTTGCTGCATTGCTCTCCTTTAAAAGGGGGGAAATCCCACATAAACCAGCAGGGCCTGGCTGTTAAAACCACACAGGCAACAAGATGCAGAGGGATCTAAAGAAAAAGCTACTGGCTCTGAAGAGCCATCAGAGGTTCATCCCTATAAAGAAGCTGTGCTTGCGGCTAGCTTCAAGGGCTGTATTAATCAGAGAAATAGTATTAAAAACGGTTTCTGCATGAAAATTTCTGTGGCATCTGCTATAGATAGTTCTTTAAACCTGCTGCTAGTTTAAGGGCTTTCTAGTTCACCTGTTCCATGAGGAAGGGCAGCGTTATTATCTCTAATTTTTGCTGAGAAGGAGAAAGACCAGCTTTCCTGAATGCATCCAGGAACTGTGTGTTTGAGCAAAGTCCCAAAGAGCAACTCAGCATTTTTCAGTTTTTTTTCCAGTCTAGTTTGCAAAAACAGTATCATTAAATTGGAGATTCAGCAGGTGGCCATCAAGATAGTCGGGGGGCTGGAGCACATCCCTAGGGGGAGAGGCTGAGGAACCTGAACTTCTTCATCTTGGAGAAGAGAAGGCTTTCGGGAGGACCCAACTGAATCTCCCTCTAGTAGCAGCAGAGAGATTATTAATAGCAAGGAGCCAGGCCGTTCATCACGGTACGTGGTGGAAGGATGAGAGACAGTGGAAGTAAGTTGAAGTGAGAGGTTTGGAGCATGGAGGATGGTAGTCGTGGCTCCTGCCGCTGTTGTACTATTACTACTACTTTTACTATCAGCTCACCCTTGTGAGTTGATGCAGCTTGAAGCAAACTGAAGCTGCTTGCCTTCCACAGTCTGGGAACTGCCAAGCCCGGCCATTCAGAACCCTTACTGGTGGGTATGAATCACAGAATCACCATAGAGTGGCCTAGGCTGGAAGGGACCTTAGAGATCATTTTAATCCAGCCTCCCTGTCACCAGGGATGCCACCTCGGCAACACATGGGGACCGAACGGGAATCAATCCTTAAACTTGGTATTAACTGAAGGGCGGCCTTAGCAATTAATTATTCTAGGGAGTAGGTTTATTTGGATGTGTGACAGTAACTTTCGACCTGCTGAAAGTTAGTGGCGCTTGTTATCTTTTTCTGTGTAAAAACAGAACAAGGAAGCATACTGCTGTTTGTATATGTCTTCCAGAAACAAAGGGGCAAATCCTAGTTCTACGACTAACTATTATGTTCCAGTCTGTCAGCTACATTAGTTGTATTGCTTTCATGTTGTGAATAAAGTTACTAAATAGATTTTTGGCACAATTACCTGTTGCTCTTTGTTGCCCTATTAAAGTTGGGTTTAAGATCCCAGTGAGTTATTGCTGATATAGGGTTCCCTTTAGGTATAAGAAAACACAAAACACGAGTGAAAAAAGCTACATTGTGAGAAGTGTACTGTGTGTTATGTTTTAGGGTTTTTTTTCTTCCTTAGGCATATCCTTTCGTAGCTTCTCTTAGTTCTTGACTCATTATTTTTTTCACTGTGCAGTCTGTTTTCACTAGAATGGCAGTTATAAAAGCCCTAGAGAAGATAAAAGAAGAGGATTTTCTCAAGTAAGTGTATACTGAAACTAGTTCTTAGTATTGTGCTTTTGTATAGAGTTAGGATGGAGAAGAAAATATTAGGTGGGTAAGTAGTGATGTCTATAAAAGAACGTTTAACTGTTTAAATTCCGCTAGTTTATTTTTTCAAATGTGCTGTATTTTCTACTCTTGTGGTAATAGGATGTCATTCCAGATCTTTTAATGAAGGAGTAAGCTTAAAAGGCTTGAGTTAGGCCACAGAGGATGGAAAACTGGGTATGACATAAATTACGGTCTTTTTCCCGTTATTAGAAGTGCGTCATTGGTTGATTATCTCAGGAGCTGCACAGAGGAGGCGCTGCAGGCCAGAGAGCTTCAGGTTTGCTCTGAGCTTTCGGCAGTACGATCTCTGGGCTGGTATGGGATTTAGAACAAACGGATGGAAGTGGAAACAGTTTGTTGTAGTATTGCTAATCACATAGATTCAAAAATATTTATGTATATCCCCAAAACCACAGAAGAGATTTAGAAATCATGGAACTTCCTTCTGTGTTTTGAACCTTAGAGTTTGTAAGGCAAACTTCTCTTTACAAGAGAGACTTTTTCCCATATTTCCAAAATGTTAGGAGTTGAGTTTTAAGAAAACACCACATGCTGTAATATGGTAACAGTCACAAGCAGTGGGAATACATGAGTAGACACTTTCTCTGTAATTCACTGTGATTATTGCACCAAGTCTTCGCAGCTCTCTTCCTCGATTCCCAACAAAGTTTTAGTAATAGATTCTGAAGGTGGTTTTCATGCAGTATTTAGTTTCATTATAGCTATAGTTACATCTTATTAGCACAGCTTGGAGCGTTATGCTTGGATAATGGTCCATGACGGATTGATGAAAATATTTGCAATGCAGAGTTCTTGATTTGCTTGGTGTTGGCCCGTTTCTCGGTGTTCCAGCTTTTAACATGAATACTGAGTTTACACTGTAGCTATGTTTTGTGTAACTGAAGTTATCATCTTTCGTGCCACTGTTGCTATGGTGATGCTTCATCATGTTCTGGTATTACTAATATATTTGATCTTTTTTTATATAGGCATTTTCCATGTCCCCCAAGCTCACCCAAGAACCTCTGTGTTGCTGTGGAAATCCAGTGCAATAATGGTGCAGTTTTTGTGGCTGGTAAAGCAATCCATTTCTTTACTGCTGTGTTGTCTTTGGTGAAACTTCATAATACTACCACGAGACCCAGAAGATTCGTGCTAGTTGTTGATTCCTGTAGTTAAGTATGAGGAACAAAGCAACAAATCTAGCTCTATCCAGGAGCAGATTTGTTTGAAAGGGGAAGAAACTACACTTGCCTTTGCTGAAGACGTGATTTTGTCAAAAGCTTAGAAATTACAGGTCGAGATGCTAAAATCGAAACTATTTGCCTGCTCTTGCACAGTGAATAGAAAGTTGGAGGTAGTGTGTGGTGGAATATGGCTGAAGAGGAACAGGAGCTGCAGGGCCCAGGTGGGGTTCCCATGGTGGGAACTGCAGGAGGGCAACATGTCACTTGGGCTTAGCTCTTTCCAATTCCACCTCCAAACCAAGACAGCATCTGAAATAATTGGCCGAGAGAGGTAATACAACAGCATTTGGTGTCCCTGGGTTGAGATGATTCAATGTTTTGATCACCTGTCAGAGTAGCTACCCTTCCCCTAGTCCTGTGTTAACCAACCACTTATTTAACTGTGTGCAAACAGCATTTAAATAAAAACACATACAATTTAATTCCAACATAGTACGTTTAAAAGGATGGTGCAAATCCCAAATAAAGGAAAATGTAAAACGAAAGGAAAAAATGCAAAAGCGAATGTTCTCATGGCAGGCTAGTTGATGTTCTATACACACCTGTTTCTTGATTACTGATTAGACAGGTGTACGGTTTCATGAATCCAAGGTATCCAGTGCCTTTTAGCCTTTTCCAAACACACTATTTTGTTTTAGGTTGCTTTGTTGGATATTTTTTCCCGAACTCATCTGTACAGAAGGCAAAACAGAGGATTAGCTTTCTGCATGTGATTTAGTACTGGATTTGTGTTTTATTGTTTACAGTTTTTTCCAACCCAAAAAACTCAGGCAGGGCATTTTGAAGAATTCAGAATATAATTTTTTAAGTACAGTTCAGTTATTGTGCTGTAATTAAATGAGACAGGATCTTAATTTGTAAGCATGGTTTCAGAGTTGGTATTGCCCTCCTGACCTTATCTTTTGTGTTCAGTGATTACTTCCCCCCAACTATTTCCTAAGGGTTCAGGAGAAGCTGTCAAACTGAGAAATACCTTTTGGGTTTTTTACCCCCCTCTCATTCAGATCAAAACTTAAAATTATTACTATGGGGAGCTGAGAAAAAAAAAAATTTCCTTTTTCTGTTTTATGGAGAGAGAATTTAGGAGTGTGAAGCTGTCTGCTGGATAATTAGTCATAGTACTTTCATTATTTGCCCCAGTGAAACGCTATTAGTCAGGTTCCCCATTTGTTTGTGTGGGTTTTTCTGCGGATGAAAATGCAAGAAGGAAACGTTGTTAGAAATAGGAAAATATGATAATGAAAACGAAAAAAATTGAGATGACAGAGCTACAATATAATATGCACAGCTCCTCTGAACTCTTTTTTTTATTTGCTATGTGCAAGGTTTCAGACTAAAACTTGTTTGTGCAGGGGTTTACTCATTGTGCTTTATGAATGATTTCCTTGGTTTGTGCTTATTTTCACTTATAAAACCTGTCAATAAGAAAGCTCATCTTTGTCATCCGACTCAGAGTTGTTCTTTGGTTATAGCAGCCCTCGTGTCATGGGGGATGGCACGCTGGGTGACATAACACAAGGCGATGACTGGAATCAGTCAGAGGATGGCAATCTCTTTACTTGGCAGCTGTTCAAAGTTCTTGAAATTCGCACTAGGTTTATTATCGAGACATTTTGCTCACGTGGTTTTCCTTGCCAAAGTGATTTTAATTTGGGCTTCTTTTGTTAAACATCCAGACAATGGCAGAACTTGGTTTGAAACCTGAACTGCTTGAGACAGGAGGGCGTGGGAACTTCTTTACTTGGGCTGTGTCCACGTTAGTGGACAGGCACACGGATAGCACTTCTTGGGTATGGGAGGCTGCTTCAAGACCATGCTGATTACACAAAAAAAGTTTTCCATTCAGAATTGACTCAGACCAGGCACTCAGACCTCTGGCTTTTATTCCCAGTTGTGTCAGGCTATTTGTAGTTTTGTTTCTGTGGTTGTCCCTGAAGGTACGAAGCTGGCCGTCTTGGATTTTGAAACTCTTGTAGGTGCAGCAACATGCATTTCATCCTCTTGCCATAAAACAAGTCTAAGCGTGTAAATTTATTTTTATAAGGCTCCGATGAAAGTTAAATGTGTTGCACTGTGCAATACTGGAGCTTTTGTCCATTGCGTAATACAGTTGTTTTTTACAGGAAGATACAACAAATATTCAAGGAATTTACCTCAGACTCCCTGGATTATTGATGGGGAGCGGAAGCTGGAATCTTCAGTGGAAGAACTGATTTCAGAGCATCTAATGGCAGAGTTCAAAGCAGACAGTAAGTATCTAGGAGATCTTTTACCATACACATTTTTCATCATGCAAGAAAACTGTTTCTTTATCCCTCTCTTACCCTTCCAAGCTTGTAAACATTTTTTAGCTACTATCTGTGAGTAATCAGATGACTGCTTTGTTTTATGCAGTGTCTTTTATCCTACTAAAATATCTCCTCAGTGGATCTGGTGATGCAAATATTATGGTTTTATGTGGTAATATTTTTACCTAGCCATACTTCTGAACAGTTGATAATTCATAAAATGACTTGTAACGAGAAGGGCTTTGCCATCAGTGTTCCGTATCTGCCTAGCCTTCTACCCCTTCCTGTGTCTTACCTTGGTTAATTTATTTTCTTCAGTGCTTGGAGTTCCACAAGCTAAATGCTTATCCAGGGATTACCCAGATGAAGTAATCACTACCCATCGTTGGTCATCTGCTAGACATGGAATTAGAAACACAGAAGGCCCAAGGAAAAATTGCATTAAATATTAGTTTGGAAGAAACAGCTACTTTCCCCTCCTCTCCTCCCTCTTCCCAGTGGGTTTGTTAGTCTGAACACAAGGAAAATCCTCAGACCGAGTCTTTAGGCCAGGTACTATCTAACACCTGATTTCAGCTTGCAGCATTACCACCGCTGGCTACCAGAAGTGCATGTGCAGTAACGTTGAAGAGATATAAGTTAATAGAAAGTTAATAGTAGGTCAAGAGAGGTGATCTTTGCCTTTTACTCAGCACTGGAGAGACACATCTAGGGTACTGGGTCCGTTTCTGAGCTCTCTGGTACAAAAAAGGCATGGACATACCGAAGCGAGTCCAGCAAAGGGCTGTGAAGGTGATCAGGGCGCTGGGGCATTCCCCGCTAAGAGAATTCTGGTAGTGTGACCAAAATAGACATTCATGACCATAAAAGAATTTTCTCACCGTTACATAGTTGCCATAATATGACCAGAGAAATGACAGATAATAAAACCTAATCTCTCTGTGCTCTCTATGTTTCCTATGGAGGAAAAATTATCAAAACAATTGGCTTTTCAGAGACCCTTGGGAAAAGAGCTGCAAAGCTCCTTCTAGTGCAGCGTTTGGTCCCCCATTCCTCCTTCAGGCAAAGCTGGAAGGTGGAAGGGTATGACTGAAGGAAACTAAATATTCACCAGTACGTTTTCATAGCTTGAAACATGAAAAAAACTAAATACACAGAGGTTTGTTTTTTGGTTTTGACTTGAATTTTCCTTCTCTTCTGCCCAGATATGTGTGACTAGCAGAAGTTTCTTTGATATCTTTGGAAACCATTGAGTGTATTTAGGATAAAACGTTGTGTTTTGGAGGAACACAGCTCAGTTTGATTTTATTCCTAAACTTGAATTACCTAGATAAGAACTGAATGAAATTAATTAAAAAGTGGAATTCCTTTAGGTACTGCTTTTTTCTGAGACATTGTCAGGGTTGTAGCACTCTCGTTCAGGCCAGTGCTCTTCAAGAAACGGGTGAATCTGATGCAATAAATAATAACTATCCCATATTTGTTCAAATACACTGCAGGCTTCAAAGGTAGCTCTTCCAAGTAGATTTGCAAACAAGTTTAGAAAGAAAATATGTCACCTTTTAAAAGCTGTAGAGAGTATGAACAATGTCAAATTAAGTCTCACCTGCCTTGTTCAAATCTGTTACAGGCTTTAATTTTTCTTCCTCTGGAAGAGAAGATGTGGACGTAAGAACGCTAGGCAATGGTAAGGCTTGGATCTTCCCTTGTGAAACAGGAACAAGCAAAACAGTTCCCTGCAGCTGCCCAAACCGCCCTTGCCAAAGTGCTAAGTGCATATGTGTGTGACTAGTGGTGCTTTGAAATTTTATCTCGGAAGCATTTTAGTGGTATTTATGTATTTATTCCCAAAGGCCAAACAGTTTCAACAAACCAACTGACAGGGGAGCCCTTTTTCAGTGTCCTTGGCTGCACAGATGCATGGAAGTGCACAGCTTGTTAGGAGTATTTAATTTTCTTTACTTCCTATTTTTAAGCCATTTATGCCAGACTAATTCCGAACCTGTCTTCCTGTTGGGTCCTTCCGCTTTGCCTCGCTGCCACTGGGGAGTGAGGAAGCCTTATTTCGCTTGTCGAACTTGGGCCCTTTACAAAGGTCAGTTGCTTTCCAGTGTGCCGAAGCTACTACATCTAAAGGAGGAGGGGAAAGAAAAAGTAAAAGTGAACAATGATGTGTTTCAGTTGCTGTCTGATTTGTAGCGTAGTTCTTGGCATCGCTTATACTGGGGATCATCCCTGGCCCTGAGCACAGAAAGTGCAGCTATTGCAACAGATGTTTAGCTGAGGGAGAGGGATTTAACATCGCCTTGCACCTGGGCATTGCTGTAGGTGACAGAAAATAAGCTAATTAACTTTTTTTCTTATTTTATTTTTTAATTAGCACAGACTTGTACAAGACGTCTTCTGGGAAGTCGTAATTTGCACTTATTGCTGATACTGGGGTTTAGTAGCCAAAAAAAGTCCCCTGTTTCTTTCCTTCCATCTGATGCTACATCCCTAAACCCGCAAGCCCTATCCCTGTTTGCATAACATCAGACAGTCTTCACACCTTCCAACCTTACTGCATAAATTCAAACATTAATTTCGAACAACATGTTTTTATGTTTTATGACTGTGCACGTTGCCAGGAAGGCCCTTTGCAATTGAGCTTGTGAATCCTCGTAGAATACATTTTACTGCTGAGAAAATGAAGGGACTTCAGCAGGTAAATCATTCGCACGTCACGGAACTCATAAAGCATGTGTTTCTTCTGTAACTGAGCAGTCTTGCTAACTGATTCTTTTTTAAATATCACAGACAATTAACAACGCTTCAGACAAAATACAGGTTCGAGATTTACAGCTTGTCACCAGGTCAGTATTTATCATCGCTGGCAAGGGATTTCAAAGTGATGCTTTGGGAGTTTTGCAAGCATTCTTGCTCACAGCGTTATATAATTACACTTATGTTATGTGAGTAATTAATTTCTTTTGTTTAGAGAGGCAATTGGCCATATGAAGGAAGGTGAAGAGGAGAAGACAAAGACCTATAGTGCCTTAATATGGACAGACAAAGCAATACAGAGAGAAGATATTGCATTTCTAGATGACATCAAGGTATCTGTAGCTCATTTTTCTCGTGTATATAGTACCTGTCCTGGTGCCCTAGGGGAGAGTTTATACACACTGCGCCCACGGACATGCCTCTTGCCCTGTGGTGGTTTTTCATCAGGGTTTCTCTTGCTATAGAGACTTGCGTACCTCACTTCACCTTCTCACCCTTCCTCACCTCACCCCAGCAGTATAGCAGCGGGGCTGTTAAGCCAAGGCAACACGATATTGTATAACGTTGGCTTTCCAGTAGGCTGAGTAATAAAATGTAGTGAACAGGAGAGGAGGGAATCTGGCACCCGCACCCCTTTCTTTACCTTAGATAGCGTTAGTCTAAGTTTTGCGGAGAAGGTCTTTTGTTCTGCAAGCTCTAAAGCCATTCTTCCACAGCTGCAGCAATGAGGAACTTGAAATGCCCATGGGAAATAACGCAAAGAGGCCTTCCAAAGCGCACGATGTAGCGAGCACACTGCATTAACGAGAACTTTCTCCGATTCTTGGTCAGGGAGCTACTGCTGATGGAGAAGCGTGTTCAGTTTCTGTTGGGTTACACTATTTCCTCAGGGCCTTGGCCACGAAGCCATTCTCAAAGCGAGGGCTTGAGCCGTTACAGTTCAGGGATACAGCTGTTTTTTCTGTAGCATGCCCACTTGCTTCCTGAAAAGTTACCTTTCAAACTGCTGTATCTCATTTGGGAACGGGTTGGGGAATGAACTTTTTAAAAAAAGACTGTTACGAGATCTAATCTCATTTCGGGGTTTTTTCATCGCTTTTATTACTAGGGGCTTGGCTGTAGTTTAGACAAGGCATTCTGTGGGTGGGATTTTTTATTTTCTTTTGATTGCCCTGAGGCTCTCAGTGAGTTTCTAATCCTGGAGTCATTCCAGCAGAGGACTATGGAGATTTCAAGGTTATTCCTCTGTATTTGTGATTCCATTAGTCTGTGTTCATATGAGGCCTTCTCATTTAGCCTTTGAGAAGGCTGTCCCTTTTTCCTGTGCTAAACATGGAAAAAATTAGCCTCGTCTCAAGAAGCTATGATACAACAGAAAAAAGATGTGGTTGGTTAACAATACGTATGACTCTTACAATCTGTGCAGTATGTTGCATATTTCCTTCCTCATTTATTTTGTTACCTCTTATAACAGGAATTAAAACTCGACCAGAAGACACCTCTCCGGGTTCTTCACAGAAGACCTCTGGCTGTAAGGTGTCGGATCATTCACACCATGAAATCCGAGTACATCGATGAGCATCATTTTCGCCTGCATCTGAAGACTCAAGCAGGAACGTATCCTTCGTTGCCGTTACACCATGCATTTACAAAGTAGCTTGCTGATTAGAGTAATTTGGGTCACGGGAAGTTTCCTGCTTTTACCACTGGGGTGTTGCCCTGCTCTTCAGCAGTCACGTGTTGCTGCATAACGTTTGCTTTTATGTCAGAATTTTGCATTCAGGCTTTCATTCAAAACTGAATGAAAACTCTGTGCATGTAGTTTTGTGATGACCACTCTGATGGGTACTGGTTATGGATATGCTTAATCTTCTAATTTAACGGAAAACTGTTCACTTTAGAAAATAAGCTTTTCCGCAATATTTAATGCTCTGCAACGCAGACTGTAGATTGCTGCTACTTAGGAGTTAACGTTTTTGCCATCAAGTCACCGCTTGCTTTGAAATAAAACAGAAGATACCGGTCAATAGTGCAGTTTTTGGCATTAGAGACAAAAGCTGAGGATTAGAGAGTCTTTTACAGATGAGCATGGGCTTAACACGACATTCACTGCAAATTGGCTTAGGAGTAGAAAAAGACTGGCTTTGCTTGAGTGTTTCTCACCATACACGTTTTTTTCCCCCTCTTTTGATTTCTTTGTGGTAAAATACACCTTTCCTTAGCCAGTATTTCTAGCTACATCAAAGAATTTGTGCACGGAGACTTTGGAAGAACAAAGCCCAATATTGGCTCCCTACTGAACAGAACCGCCGACATTCTGGAATTGGATGTAGAAGTAAGTTGTTTGCTATTTATCTTACCTGGAAATTAGTAACTAACTCTACCTGAATCAACATTCCTTCCACAGTTCATAGATAAAATGATGTTAATGCAAAAATAGTGGTTTGACGTGATCGGCTTCCTCTGTTGAATTCACATTGGGGAGGGATGGGAGGACAGAGCATGAATTGATGACATTATTAGCACCCACTGGAAGAGAGCTTTGCAATGTTACATGTACCATGACCCTTCTTTTCAAAATGGGGTTGGATAAAAATAGGGGAGATGTTACTTCCTCCTTCAATGCTGATTCAAACACAGCAAGAAATTGTTCTCTTGTTGGAGGCAGATGAAAAAAAACAAAATTTGTTTTGCTTAAAAGAACATATGTAGAGATACCTATGTAATATTTAACCTAGCGGTTTGCCAAGGTTTGTTTAAAACATGGGCTTTCATTTTGAGTAGCCAATGATCAGCCTACTTGTTCTCATGCATTTATGGAAAACTGCCCATGTCACATTCTGTAGAAGAGCCTTGCAGGTTTTTTGCATGTCTTTTGTTGGATCATACAGAAAAAGAACTTGCTGAGGGCACTTGAGTTCCTTCTGAAAACAGGAACCCCTGACCTGGGGCTTGGTCTGATAAGCATCGCTCTCGTACAGATAGATGTCACCACAGTTCTTGGACCTAACCGTGAAAGATGTCTAGGGACTTGAAAATAATTAGTCATCTTGCTAATAATGTCATCTAGCTCAGCCCGAGAGCCTAATCCTTTGATGAAGTTGTAGATGAGGCAAGGAGTAGGTATGATTAATGTAGGCAGTCTTGAAGGCCAGGTGTCGAATGTGCTGCCTGGCGATCCCTGCGGTGTGACTGCGAGCGGCGATACCAGGGGAGTGTCGGGTGCGCTGCTTTCAGAAGAGGGCGAGCAACAAGTCCATGCCCAAAGGGCGCTGGAGACGTGGCCTCTGGGAGACCAGGGAAGAAGCATATAATCCAAGTGGTAGTAATTAGGACATTTGCTTCTAATAAAGTGTCAGGCATGTTTTGCCCCCTTTGCCCAACAGTCAGGATGACTGTTAATGATGTAGCCTAAATAATTCTTGCACATAGTGCTTGACAGCTTCTTTTAGTCTAGTTTTTCTTGCTCGGGAGGCAGGTTTCAGAACAGGCAATGGTTTTCTATTCCCGACCTGCCTGCATTGCCCAACACCTGAATATTTCCATGGCACCAATCATCAGGTTATTTGTTTTCACATTATAACAGCCCAGCTGTAGGATGGGTCCATGATAGAGATGGTTCACATTCCTAATTAACAGCTCTGGACTTCCTTTAAATGCAGCCCAACATTAAACGATAGATGTCAAATATCAAGTCTGTTGATTTTGCCTTGTTTTTTTCTCCCCTCCTCTTCTAGTCTGTTGATGTTGACTGGCCTCCAACCCTGGATAATTAACTTTTCAAGTCCAGACGAGGAAGAAGCAGCAACTCTGTCAGCAGCAGTTACTGAAGCTGTGCGGTGTTACAAGCCTGGCTGCAAAGTATTTCTGTTGAACATTTGGATCATGTTGATCTGTCCAAGGACGCTGTTAGTTTGAATCAACTTTAAACACTGGGGAACAGGTAGTGTTCAGTCAGTCTCTAGCCTTATTTTAATTTCTTCTGTGCATAAAAAGATTCTGGTAAGCTAGCATCTTGATAAGAAGTCTTTTTAAAAACAAAAAATATAGATAAATGGAGTAACACATGCAAGTAGACCAGATACATATTCTGTGTTAGTTTAAAACGTTTTAATTAAATAACCCTCCCTCAAGTAATTTTTTTTAAAACTCTTTTTATATTGGATGCTGCAGCTTTCTTGTCTGGATGCAGGTAGCTCTGAGTTACCTGAAACCCAGTCCTAACTTTTTTTCTGAATACTGTTCATGCAGGAAATCCCCACATTCAGGGAAGCTCTGAAACTGGGAGGATGTATCTGGAATGAGGAGGCGCTCCGCACCCTCCCGAGTGCTTTTTGGCCAGTGTCAGTTTTAGAGCTGGGCAAATTGGTCTCCTTGGCAATTTTCTAAAGAAAAACCAGTTTTCCAAGGAAACCTTTGCACTTAAGGTTTTCTCATTTAAAACATCAGCGATACTTCCTAGAAACAACAGCTGAGGTACGCGAGCCCTCAAGAGCTCTCCAGCCTGGTTACAGCCCTCTTCAGGCACAGGATTTCCCCAGCTGAGTCACCATATATAAGAAGATTGGGAACTCCTGGCAGTGGTGCATGATGGAAATTTGAAGAAAAACAGGAATACTGAGAACCTGGAAAAGTGCAGGCAAATCCAAAATGTACCAAAGAATGTTGGAAATGAGACACCAAGACAGAGATAAAAAGCTTTGGTTTGTAGCAGAATACATTTTTCTAGTACCTAGCCTTGGATGGATGCCTGGAAGAGTTGAACCTTGCCTAGAAACAAGGAAGACCTGAGGGTTTTTTTTGCTTATTTTAAATGTTTCATACAAAGCATCACCTACACCTTTAGGAAAAGCCATTTTTATGCTTATTTTTTTTTTTTAAGAAAAAGCCATTTTATGCCTCTATCATGTTAATTCATTAGGAAGGTGCTTCTGCTTACCTGAAGTACAGAAGAAACTACCAACAAGAAATTAAGGTTTGGAATTTAAAGGCCCTTCATTAATTAACATTGCAGGAATAATGAGGGTAATCTTTGCTGAGATAAACCACTGTTTTAGGATGAGGAGAATAACTGAGCTGTCTTACCTTCAATTCAGTGGTGCCGGGGCCTCATAATAGAACAGCTGCATAATAACTTTAGCTGAAGGCTCAAAAAGGCATTAATAAATACATTTTTAAGGAGGTCCTAAAAACTGATCTTGAAAAATTAGTGTAAGTATTATATACTCTGCCTGGAACAGGCTGTCAAAACTTCTCTCTCATCATTTGTTTTCCTAGTCCACTGTAATATCAATACAGCAGTAGGTTAGAAGCTCCTGTTCTAATACAAGAATAATAGGAACATGATTAAGACAAAAATATATTTAGTTTTTAATCTTAAAACTGTTATGAGCAACAGATTCCAGGAGTAGTTGTCTCAGATAATCATCTGTACCCAGAAAGGAAGTATCATGAACAATGGAAAACTTAAACTGAATTCAAAAAACAAACAAAAAGAGAAATTCAGTCTCATATCTCCGTGATTTCTGGAAACTCAAAGTGAGGTAAAATATGATTTATAAATTCCATAAACTTCAGGGGAAAAATGTAAACAAGGCCTGCACGATGGACAGGACAGACACAAGAAGAGCTGCTCCAAGGAGGAAACGGAGTGAACGAGGCAGCAGCAGAAAAGGCTTCTGCTGCACCTGGGGACCCTGGAGGCGCTCCCGTCCACAGCTTCGCGCACATTGCTCTACGTTATCACGGGGACGGTGGAAATCAGGTCAAGAATCACGAGTGCAGATAAACAAGACTGTAAAGGTTGTATGAGATGGGCTGAGTCTGATCTCTTCTCCATGCAATGCAAGGTGGAGAGGGCCACCAAAACTTCCTATGCTGTGTATTTTATGGTAAATTTGGAAGTAGCCAAATAAGGGGAGGGAAAAAAGCTGATGATGCAAATCTCTCCACAGCTCTTTATTGTTCAGTGATCATGTGAAAATATGAAAGTGAGATGTAATCTATCATTTGAACTTTAAGGTCTGCAGCTTCTAATACAAGGTAAACACTTTGGAACTATCATAATCTGCAATGAATATTGCAGAATTAATATCATGTTGTACTTGGCCTTCATCTTATTTTTAAAAGTAAAATACCTACTCGTGAGTACTTGGATAGGACGTTTTGTGAGAATAAGATTTCATCTTGATCATTAGGCATGTGTGAAAGAGGGAGATGTTTTCTACACATTGTGTGAAAAATACTGAAAAATGAGGTCTGGTGTTCCTTAGCACCATCCTTCTTTGCACTGGGAGGGCTCAAAATAAAGCTGTTATATTTCTTCAACCAATTGGTCACCTATGTTGTGCCCTTTAATTTTTATTTATTTATTTTTTTTTTTTGCATCAGCTTAGCTGGCCCTGGAGAAAGCTGTACCAGTAGCCCAGCTCTAGCTCAGCACGAAAACATCTGATTCCTCTCTGCCCCTCTGACAATTGCTTTGCCACAAAAATTGCTGAGTGCAGGCAAATCTGCACACATTGCTTTAGGTTTTGTAGCGGCCAACAGGAACTGCGAGCAAAAAATACTCTTAAAAAAAACTAAAACCCAACCCAACAAGGCAGGATAAGCACCATAACCTACCTTGTCTCATTTCTCTGGCTTTCCTGCAGTGAGGGATGTCATGAATCTGAGAAGGCCGCAGAAGCTGAGTACTTAGTATAACCAGTTCTTTAATTACCAAACCAACTCGTTTACAAAGGAAAACAGAACTTTGAAAATATTTAATTATACAGTAAAAACAAATTGTACTATAAAGAGCTTTCTATTAAGTAAAATGTTTACATTTAATATACTTAAAATTGAGAACTTAAAAAAAATGAATAAACACATTTCAAGCTTTCTTTGTATTTCTTTGTTCTTTCTATTACTGAAGGAGCTATGCAGAAGTGAGGAAGAACTGCAAGTCACTGCGTTGCGTACCCAGTGTTGGGTGCAGTAGTTTTCCAAACTTCACGTATTATACATTGTGGAAGGAGCACATTCTGTCAAACCTGTGCAATTGGTGTAGCGCAGTACAGCAGCAGCAGCACCGCGGTGCTTTGAATGCAACGAATTACTGCAGTTAAGGAGTCCTTGCTCTCCTATAAACCACTGGGTTTCTGGAGTTCCTTCCTGCCTTGCATACAAGTATACGTCTTCAAGGGACTATTTTTGATTTGGGGTTGTTTTTTGTTTTGTTTGTTTTAAATATACACACACATGTGTGTGTGTGTATATATATATATATATAAAAAATTGTGCTTTTTTATTGCTTCTTTCCATAGTGCAGTTTTATGTTGCCAAATAGTAGCGATTAGATTGTTAAGCCTTACTTGTCATACAAACGAGCTGTATAACTGAAGAAATACTCATATACAGCTCTATAACCAAAGAAATACTCATATATTTCTTGCTTTGTTGCTTCTTAAAAAAACAGTAATAATAAAATAGCAAAGCTCTATAATGCAGAGTAGAGTGTCTTACCTAGCCAGTTACATCCTCGTGAGCTGTCACTGAACATCTCACAACTCAGGCTAAGGAGGAACACAGGGAATCAAGTGGAATGGATGAAGTTCTGGTTTCTGATACAGAGCATAGAGGAGTGTTTTTAATTAGTACTGACTGAAACGGCCTTACGTCGTTAATAGAGTGCATCGAGACAAGGCTGCCCTACGCCTGCCTCCAGATCTGAGCCCTCGTTTAAGCAGTCACTTGCATAGCAGGAAACTGCTGGATACCTGAGAGAAGAATAGGTAGATGCTTTGGCTCAACGTATTTCTGCAGTTCAAAACAACACACATCACAGCTACACACACACGAAAACAGCTTCCAGAGAAATAACCGCGTGCTCCGTTCCTAAAGCAACGAGAAAGTCATTTAAAATAGGGCACTTGGGATGAAGTGCAGAGAAGTCCTTGCTTTCTGTTCATTCTTTTGTGCAGTGATTCATTTAAAACAGAGCTGGACTACTTAAAAACTCAAACCTTCCGGTCTTTTAAAATACATCTAACAATGACATAGTCATTAAAAAAATTTTAGAGTAAATTTGCCTTCAAAGCAAATGGAGTGTGGTGAAAATGTGAAAAGTCAATGCGTGGTCTTATTTTAGGAGAGGAATGTTTTATGTGAAAGAGGGTAAGAAACCTAAACCTTTCAAGTAAGTTGAGTAAAACTTGAACATCGTTAGCTGAGTCTGAACTAGAGTGCCCACATGCAGGTTTCCCTCCCCCTCTAATTTCTGTCCTATCAAAATTTTATTTCCATAGCAAAAAATAGCTATTTCTCAAATAATTTTAACCCTGTGAAGTATTTGAAATTTTAACCCTTTGGATGATGCGGCTTTTACAGTCTCCAAAGGTAAGGGAGACTCAAGTGTTAACAGTTTCCCTCTTTCCAACAGCATAAAAATATGGATATAAGGTACTTGTAAGGTACAGAACCCCAAACCCTACTCCCATCTCTCTTCTTTATGGGCACCAGTCTTTGGGCTGCAACATATAGCCATAAGTTATATTGTAAAACTCGCAGAGTTACATTCCAAAAGAGAAAGCAGAGACTTCAGAAGGGGAATTTACTCTCTTTCCCACAGCCATCTGAAAAGCCCTACATACCTGCCTTCAGCCTGCCACTGCTGGCTCAATGGTTATAGTTTTGTAATATGGAATCAAGTTGGAAAGACTGATAGAGCTCATCAGTGTGGACACCTGTAGTGTCATAGAACTGGTTCTCTGCAAGGCTATTCGGATGGTTTGGCATCGGGTTGGTGCATAGTCTCGATTCACTTAAAACTTCTTGGTCTACAAAACTGAAAACTCCTGGATCAGCTAAGGTAGAATGCGAATTAAAAGGCGTGCTGCCCGAGGCTGCTACGGACACCTGATGGAGCTGCTGCCTGTGATTGCTTGCATTTAACACCGCATTATACTTTTCAAAGTTTATACTAGTGCAGTTCATGTCATCGGTCTCCATGTTCACGATGCCGCCTGTGGAGACACTGGCAGAATGAGCCTGCTGCACGACGCTGTTACTGGAAACGCTCTGCATGTCTGCAGTTGACGATGACGCTGCTCCCATCCCGTTTGCGAAATTCGCATAGAAATCCAAGTTCTTCCCGTCGGGCCAGTTCAGAGGGTTGTCGTGGAAAGTCGGGAGAGAGCTGCCACTGCTGCCCAGAGCGCCAGGCTGAGGCATATCCGTCGTGAAGCTGTTGTGCGGGTGCGCAGCAAGCAGGCTGCTGGGTGGGGAGCCGTACAGCGGCCAGCACGAGGAGAGCGTGTCCTGCTTCCCCGGCCCCACCGGTGCAGATGGGTGGGAAATCTGGCTGCAGATTGTGTTGGCCGGGGCTCCCAGCCCCGGCATCATCAGTGAGGATGAAAACATGTTCGGTTCTACAGAAAGAAAAAGACAGGACTGCAGTTTAATGTTGTTTTTTAATTGTTAAAGGGCAAAGCTAAAACAGCGCCATCATAGTAAGATTGTGCGGGCATTTGCGCTTTGATACTTCCTGAACTGCTCTCCAGGGTGGACCCCAGATTTTTGGACAGCAGCAAGACAGCTCTCCACCTCACCCCTCTGTGGCAAATGAGGAAGGTGACATCTACGTTTAAGTAAAGAACTGATGGTGTTAGCTGTTTAGTCCAAAGTACCAGTATCTTACAGGAGGAAACCCTCAAGAGAGTACTAGAATTCCAAGCAAAGAGGAGGGAAGGCCAGCAACTGAGTGTATGTTTGAAAGGCCAAGTATCTGAATACAGAGAAAAATGGATAGTTATCTGAATTAAAGCTGAAAGCCAGCAATGCTTCAAGGTGAACCCCTCTCCTGTGCAAAGCGGAAACTGCAGCACAGATGAGGCTTCGGGAAGAATCTGGAGGAGGGAAATTAAGAGGCAGGTACTACTGCTGCCTTGGGAACTTTGGTGTTCACCCAGAAACGTTCCAGCCCTTCCCCAGGCCCAGCTGGACGCTATTTGTTTCAAACTGCTGTTGGACTGCGAGGAAAAACCTACCCTTCTTAATCAGCTTCTCTCCAGGAGTGAATGGAGCTACTTTGGGCCTCTCTGTTGCATTTGATCCTGCGATGGAAGAAAGCATGAGTCTACACTGAATGTTTACCTTTATACAAATATAAGTTCACTCAAACAAGAAGATGACAAATATTTTCCTTACCACAGTCCTGTATGAGCTTTTGCCAAGCCAAGGTTGATCTTTGCCTTTTTGCTTTGTTGCCGTATGGATCTATAGAAAGAGAAATGAGTGGAAGGGAAAAGTGTTACATTTCTCTTTGATATAATTAGCAAAAGAACTTCTAAAACTTAGAGTAGTGGCACCAAAGAGCAGTACGATATAGTTAAAGAAAAATATTTTAGACACGACAGCACTAACAAACCAAGGCAGTGTTATTAACCATGATTCCTGATATTTTAATTGAAAGAGGGAACAAACTGACTATTTTCACTTTTAAACCCCAGAAATCTACTTTGCAGAAGTAGCGTTGTAGATTATTTACTAATCAAGCTGCTGTTTATTATCAACATGCGCTCTGCACTGGTAACAGCTTTTCAGAAGCTCAGCTAATTGGAACCATACCCTTTTCATCTGGCAGGTATCTGAAATCCATAGGTTCACTGACTTCCTGGTCTGAAGGTCTTCGCAGCTGCATCTTCACCGTGACAGGCTCAGTGATGTCTTTGAGAAACGGCGGTGTTCTGAACACAATTGCAACTTGTCGGTGAACGTCAGCTTGTGAGAAGGAACCTTTGGCCTCCCAGTTGTCCAAGACAAATCTGACTTCTATATCATCTAGTCCATTAGAAACAGAAGATGCTTGTTAAGCTGAAGAACTGAAAACTTGCAACAGAAAAAAGGGAGAAGGGGAACAAAGAAAGGAGTCTGACTCAGAATACAGATGTAAAGGAAATAGCTCAGCTTTAAAGGCACCGAGTTTCTCTCAGAGGTGCTGAGAGCCCTTGAATCTGAAAGTTCTTCTGCCCAGCTATAAAAACAAACAGCTTGCAAGGAAGTGTGGTGAAGGGCTTCAGTTCCCCAGCTCAAAAGTAGTCATGTCAGCCATTTGGAACAAAACAGGGGGTAAAAACCACCCTAGTCAAAGATTACCTTTTTGAACTTTGTCACACAGTAGAAATATTTCATCTCCTCCTTTTACACTTCCACAGTTCTTGTTCACGCGACAAATTCTCAATTCTGCAGTGTTGGGAGCTCCTGGAAACAAACAGGCAAATCTGATGATAAAGGATTATTGTAACTTTGTCACTATTGAAGATGAGGTGCTGGGAGCTATGGCATATAAAGGGAAGGCAACAGCTGGAGGAGTCTGACACCCCCAAACCCATGTGAAACTAGCTGCTGCATGCAGGAAATTTAAAAGCAGGTCTTGATGTTCCATGACCCTACAGATCTCAGCCGCTGATCTCCAAACACAAAACACGAGTGCAGCTGTGCCACTAACTCCCTAACTGTTCTAGAGCAGTCTCAAAATACTTCCCCAACTGACACAAGTGTGCTCAGCACTGCTACCCTTCAAGCTGGAGACATCAACGCAGTTCTTTGAGTGCCTAGTTACCTGTTACAGTCATGCTTCTCTGGAAAAGCTGCGCTAGCAAGCCATGAAAACTCCTGTCTCTAAGTATCAGCCATGCTTGGCCATCAAATCTCTCTTTGGTTACCCTCTCTCGGTGTTTGAGAACATGTCTAGGAGCCTAACTTTCATGCCTGAACTCAGCGTAGCAGGTTTCACCCCAAAATGCTCAAATTTCAACTCCAGACTGTGGCCGTACACTGACAGCACTCACAACGGTTGTGGATGGAGAGCTGCCCCGTGCACGGTCTCTGGCAGCGCTGTACGTCACAATAAATCAACCACCACCTGAGTTTGCACACCACAGCCAGACAACCCGTGCAGGACGGAGACAAGCGCTGCTTGATGGGGTGTGGCCCCACTCAGCAGCTTTCCTGCAGGGTAAATACGGACACTAAAGAGAGAACAGTCCCCCTGGAGCTGTGTGCACTATGGTACCATTTACTTTAAAGGGCACTAATGTCACAATATAGCAATTCAGAATTAACAAAAAGCAGCCAGAAAGAAAGAATTCTTCTGAAGAATTTCAAGTTCACCCCCTGTGCTTATATGCTCTCTTGATACTTTTAAGTGCATGAACACACACCAATTTTAAGACTGTCTTCATTTAACAAATGAGGTAAGAGATGCTCGTTTTTCTGCTGCTATCTGTGACCATATTCATAGATTACTGCACCCTTTTCCACCTCTCCAATCCCAACAGAATGAAACTATGCTGCACCAAGATGTTCTTGTTTTGTTACATCAATACTTAAGACACCAAGAGCTCAACTCTAAATGAATTTAAAACTCCTGGGTGGATCTGGCTGGTGCCACTTTGCCACCTCCTACCATCACAGCAACCTGGGGCTCCACTATCACAGGCTCCCTGTTTCAGGCACAGAGGTGAAATACAGAACAGAAGCTTGTGGTGTCGTCGTCAAAAAAACACATTAAAAAATTAAAAATAAAAACAAAAAATAATCTACTTTGGACTCTCAGTTTGAGTCAATTCCTGCCTGATCTTTCATGGTACTGTACAGGTACATCACAGCACAACATCAACTACGCATGTAAGAGCGGAAACCTCAGGCCAGACCCCAATTACGTAGTTACTATCTGCAGCTATTATTATTAGGAGAAGTGGGAGCTACAGCCTCATTTACTACATATGTCACTTCATTCGCTGAATGATTCAGAAACTTGGAAGGGAGGGGAAACAAAACACACCCAGAAACAGCACAGGATCATATGATTGACAGTGTCATCGTGCGTTTTTCACAGGAAGGGTAAATTAAGAATTTCAAGGAGAAGCCTAATTTTACCTTTGGTCCACTTCCATATGCTTGAATGGCACTCAGTATCCTTTTAACAGGTTTTTGGGAAGATCTCCTAAGCTGGAGTTTGTTGGTTTGTCTTTAGACAAAGAACTTGGAAGGGGAGAGACACGAATGTCAGCAGACGAGGATGCACTCTCAGCGCCAGCGCCGGGCAGGAACACTGAGTTCGGCACCAGCTGCAGAGGGAGATGTTCCCTGTGGCCTTCGTCTCGCCATGCTGCTTCCCATTTCTTTTCCCCTGTGCACGCCCTCACCCCTTTGTTGTCTTGAGTCCTCTCCAATTCCTGTTCCTTGCTCCCGAAAAGCATATCCCCAGTAACAAATTTGTAGAAAAATGAGCTCCTTGCCAAAAATCACATCATTTTCAACACGGGCAGAACAACATGTTCTCCCTAACCTCATTTCTGAGAAAGGGTGAGCTGCTTTGCCTGACTTTTCCCAAGTGTTTTCAGTGTGGTAAGATGTGCAACTTGGGAAATTTTGGTTCAAAACCAGTTAATGTTATAAGTGACTGAAAACAAGCTACCTATAATGCTGAATTTTATACATTTGCAGTCTCTGTGACTGCCTCCGTATTACATTCACACTATTCTTATGTATCTGTACTATCCAAAGTGAAGAAGTATTGGGAAGTGAAGAAAGTACTAGATTTAAAATCCAGAAGTTGATTTTCAGAAAAGCCCTGAATACCTTTTTGCTCCTGATCTGAACAGATCTGCCAAAGCTTGAAATCTAACACTGAAGACTTCCAAGCCCGCTTTACTGTACGATTTTATCTGTCATCTCAAGTTATAACCTGACCTTACCCAGTTCTCTGTGAGAGAGCAGGTTTAAAAAGGCTAACATTTTAAAAGGAAATTCAGATCTGAAACTGCTGTTCCAGACAAGAGCAGCATAATTTTTACGATTTGTGGTTGCAGTTATGCACTTTTATTTACACTGCTGCTACGTTACCCAGAGGACTTTAGCTACCTATAGTCTATCAGAAGCTGCCCACATACACCCACACTAAAAAACCAAGCTTCCCCACCACACAGCTATCCGTCACTTCAGTAGCTTAGCAAAGACTGACGTCAATCAACATGGACAAGTAATCATGATTTGGCACATATTTAAATGGCATCTGAGACATAGCTGCAAATCTTGTACATCAATTTTATCTCAACCCTAATTACTCTAGTACTACAAGGGCAGTAGTACTAGTACAATCCACACAGTTCCAACTTCTAGATAATTCTAGAAGAGACTCTCCAAATACAAAAAACCATCTGAGTTCATATTCAATGCTTTCATAATGATTATGTCCACATCAACACAATTCTAATATCAACTTTCTACAATGCAGGCCTCATTTTTATTTAGTGGCTTCTCCTCCAGCAGTGACTTAAATATTTAGCATGGAAATACTTTCACTGCAGAAATAAAAAGCACTGTCCGAAAGTTCTCAAGGATTAAAAGCTCTTCTGCTGTGCTGCTCTACAAGAGAAGTCCAGCACACCCTGAGGGCTAAAATCCTCACTGCAGTGACCTGTCAAAGCCCTACAGAAGTCCAGTTTCGTGGAATGTGGAAAACAGTGCCAAGAAAGGAGGGTTCAAGTACATTTGCACCCTCCCACAGCACAATCAAACAATCTCCTGCTACCTATACCGAAAACAGCAGCTGACGGGGATACAAAAAGGGATCTGTAAAAGAGTTAAGACAGTTCCCCACCGGGATAAATCTCTCTCAAGTCCTGTTCAAGAGCCCTCACAAGGCAAAGGCCAGGCTCCTCAGAGGTATAAGCAAGCTTTAGAGGACAGCCTTGGAAAACAGAGCAGTCCTACGGCAGCCACCCATCTCTCCGCTATTAATTTTAACCACCTGGCATGTCAGGAGCAGGCCTTTCCTTGTGATTATTACTGTGATACATGAACACGGGTTAAGTCCCCAGATGTGACAGACAACTCCTGCTCTGGTGGGGCCAATGCCTCACCCCGAGATCATCTTCTAAGTACAGGCTCACTGATTTGCCCCGTTAGATGTGCATCGAGCAGTCCCAAGCCACACAAGCGACCCAGAAGACTGGGACAGACCTCAGAAACTAGCCTAGTATTTTTCATCCCAAGCAAGAGAGAAAAAACAAAAAGAAAAAAATAAAATTAGATGTTTGACTGAGTCAGGACTTACTGTTGTCATAGATGGGGTTGGAAATCAAAGGAGGAAGAGCTAACGTGTAGTTGCCATGTTCGTCGGGGAGGAAAGCTTGGAAGCAGAGGCGGACGACATTGAGATCATACTCATCAATGTTGTGCAGCTGTTCTTCAGGCACTGAAGAGCAGAAGGAAAGACAAAGTTGAGGATTAGTCATCAAAACCAGCAGTAATTCTTTAACAAACCGGTGATGAATGTCCACTGGCAAAAGACCTGGTGTTGCCAAAGCAGACAAAACGTGCCCATAGTCCCTGCCAGCTTTATGGGGGCCACGTGAATAAATCCCTTGTACACAACAAATGATATGGAAGCCTTTAATGCCTTCCCTTCATCAAACAAGGTTAACTGTCCTAGTCCTCCAGCTGTTTCTTGCAATCTGGTTTCCTCACCATGCCTGCCAGACCAGTTTCGTTTATGTACAGTTTAAAAGTCATTCCCTGAATGCCTATGATGAAATTCACAAAACGAACACCACTGCTGGAGAAGAATATCTCAACGCATAGAAATCCTAAGGCCTAGCCGAAGATTTTTTGTAACAGTGAGAGACTTGAGCTACACAGTGTCATTGCTTTCCTCTGGAAACTGAGATGAAAAAATCCAGAAGGCAGTTTTTGGCACAAGAATGAAGACAAAACAACACAAACCATCTTCCCCCTCCTATCAACAGTCAGTTCTGTACCTTTGAGAATAGTGATTAATGGTGTCATTATAATTTTGTAATACAACAAGTAAACCCTTGCTGGAGCGGACCTGTTTCCTTACCTGTTCCTCCCAGCGCAAAAAACAGTATTGCATAACCTAAGCTCAGCATTTTGGTTTTGTTCACTCTTTCACTTATTTTAGTTTCAAGACACAGGACCTGGGATATCATTACCGAGCATTTCAGGCACTCCTCACTTGATGGGCGATGGGAAAAGCAGCCCTCTGAACTGGATGCTTTCCTTTAAGATCTGACATTAAACTATAATGTTGATGTTCAATGCTAGCAAAAGGAGAAACTGATTTAATTTCATTTAAGTACTGATAATTCAAAGCATTTAAAGTGGCTCCCTCATCCAGAATCGTTCAAAGCAGCAGTTTGGCCTACCCACATACTCCTCGCAATTACCTAAAGTGAACCATGTGCCAAGTCGACAGATCACAACCTCTCAAGTTCCTACTTCCCCTGGCCTTTCAAAGGCCTCTTGCAAGAATAAAAGATTAAACATGCCTGTGATAAGAAGTCTGGGGATCACCCTGTACTGATTAGATTGCAATACTCTGACCTTTAACATTTATCACTGGGTCCTTCTCCACCCTGCCCTGAGTGAGATTCCACAATGCCCACTTGAATGACTTCTTCCTTTCACCTTTTGAAAGTGTGAAATAATAAATACACTGAGCTCAGAATACTTTCCACTGGCATTTTCAGTCTTTCTTATGCTCCTAACATCTCAATTTCTCCTGGTCTCTACTGGAAAAAGAAATCAAGTCACTGTTGCCTTTTACAAGCCCGTGATCTGCAATATTTGAAGACAAATACACGGGTGAGGACAAAACTAATCAGTAGCTACATATGTAACTTCAGAAATGTTGGGGTCCAGGGGAGCACTGCCAGCATGCACTTGGCAGCTCGGTGGCTGACTGTACTACCAGGTATACAGAGCAAAGTTCTATGATTTAATGCACTTCATTAGTTAACCTGCTAACTTAATAGAGCAGGGTCTTTAAAAACAGGTTTGGAACAGATAAATGTTCAGCCTAATTCAGGTTTGGCAGACTCCGCAACCCAACTGCCTCTTGATACAGCCTGACTCAAAGGAAAGAGTTAAAAAAGAAAAAAGAAAAAAAAACAAACAAATAAGAGCATCTTCTCTAGGTTGCACCTCGGAGAAGGGATAATCAGGAGTGCTGTGACATCGCGGCCAGCAGGCACTTAGCTCCCAAGAACACTCTGACACCAAGGCTTATGTTCGTGTGCTCTATTAGCCGCTGGTGACCATGTGGATCCAGCCTGAGAACCCAAGTGGCAGTCAAGTTTTAAACCTCTTAAAAATCAAACTGAACACAGAGATTCAATACCAAGCCAAGCATAAAATCTGGATCTGGCTATTGATTCCGAATCAAAAAGGAGGACTTCAGGGTTGTGCAATCAAGTTTGTCTCACGTGGATTAAAGCAGCACCAGTCCTGCACCATGTTTTCCACAGGTGCAGCAGCCTCTTCCTCAGAAACAATTAACAGCAGACTTAAAGCTTAAGAGAACTCTCTAAGTGCAAAAAATATGCTAGATATGGAGAAAATTAGTAATGCTATTGTTCAAATTACATCATTTCCTATACTAAGACCTTCCACAAATTCCCAACAAACATGTTGAACCACCTGATATAGCAAAGGCACGGCGTGACAATAACTGCAAAAAACAGAACCACTGTACATAGCTCATCGTAGTACAGCAAAAGACATTGCTCCTAATTTGCATTTTCTTATAAATGATTTAATACAGTTATAAAAAATCTGTAGTTCGAAAGAGGAAGTGCTCAATCAAGACTGATTCCTCTTGGGCTATTTTTAACCAGATGAGAAGAACAAAACAGAGCAAAAAAGGAGAACAAGGCAGTTGCAACTTCATCTTGTGATGACATACTTGAAAAATATAGACAGGCTATATCCCACATTTATATGAAGAAGCACACAACTTTCATCAATTTCAAAACATATTTCCTTCCCATGTAGAAGACAATCATCCAAACAAAATAAAATGTTGTTATTTTTAACAAACGTCTAATTCTGCTTCCTCTGAAGTCAATTTGAGAGTAGCCACTAACTTGAACAGATGCTGGCTTATACTTGAAGAATATTAAAAACAAACAAAACCGAGGCAGACAAACACAGTGACTAATGCCTGGAGCATGGCCCTACAGAGGATGGTCGTGTCATTCGGCGTTATTTCACTGACTTCTGTACAGAAGGACAACAGGCAGGGTTAAACCTGACAAACCTGAAGTCATTAGAAGTTAAGAAATGCTGTTGAAGATTTTGGGAACAAGCAAGTACTGGAGCAAGCTTCACACAAGTAGCTCTACTGAAACCAGTGACACAACACATGAAGTAAAAAACGTCGCAGCATTGTGGGAGCAGATAGGGTGAAAAAGGCTCAAGCATGACACATGAATAAAAGGAAGAAGTACTGTGCTCTTGGCAGGAGTTCAACTTCCTCTTCTGACTCCTGCTCGCTGTGTGGTACCACACCTCACTCTCTTCATCTGAATCCAACTGAAAGAGCTGGAATCCACCCAACAATCCAGGTATATTCCTGCAATGGCCCAATCTAACAAAAAACCAGCCTTAACCTGGCACAAATTAATTTTGCATAGTTACCTATGTAACAGGAGTACAGGAAGGAATGTTTCCAAGTACAGCTCTTTTACCAGGGGAAAAAGTGTTACTTCAAGCACACAGGAATAAAAATAATATTAAAAAAGAATTAAAATTCTAAGGTAAATATGGGGCGCGATGCCAGAAAAATCCCTAAAAATGCCACTAGAAGAAAATTAACACCACTCACCAAAATTCTGGCAAAGAATTTAAGAAGTAGTATCCGGAGCTACAGTCAAACCTGAGGAGTATTAGGTGTTCAACCTGAAAGGGCCTACAGTAACCAGTAAATCCTGTCTATATAAACCAATTTATAGCTCTTCTGAAAGAAATACTGATTCTCCAACTTAAAAAAAAAAACCCAACAATTATCTCTGAAATAATTCTCTAATCCATTCTCCACTAACACAGGAATAGATTGATACAGTCCCAGTGTGGGCAGAAAACCACCCCATCCAAGCTACATTGTGAACTCCTTCCAGCCAACCTGAGCCGGCTCATCCAAGCAGCTCATGTGACACAGGCATTATGTTCCCATTTCAGAAACTTCTGAGGCTGAAGTCCAGAAGTGCCCCGCTGGGTTTCTACTGAAGGAGAGAATTTCCTGGAGTTGCTTCTGTATCACAAATTTGGAGACTTTCTGGGTCCAACCACCAACATGCAATTCCAAATTCAGGCACAAAATTAAAGACTCCAATAATATCAGGCCTTCTGTTAGTCCCTGTTTATTAATTTCTAATGGTTTTTAACAGTTTTCAACATCCAGAAAGGCCAGTAAAATAAAATTTATCTGATGAAATTACTGGGGAATTAAGGGCTCTGATGTTTACTCATAAGGTGTTGCTACAGGGAAAGCAAAAGTTTTTTTCTCAGCACTGAAGAGAAATGATGAAGTGTTTAATTTTTTGACTGATAACAAGATACTTGATTAAACAGCAGATTCCTCACACCCAGCCCTCCACCCAACTTCTAGATTAATGATGTCAGAAACTTCTGGAGTGGGTGGAGTTGGAGGTGCTTTAGCATCTAAACTTAACCTGCGTGGAAACTTCCAGGGCAAATGATGTGGTGTGACACATTCAGCGCAGGCTACGCCAAGAACCCCAGTTTAGCCTACAAAGGAACACCTTGTGACCTTCCCTTCTTACCAGGGGGCTTCAGGGACACGTGAGCCACACTAGATCTCAAACCAAGACAATGACTTCTTGCAAACAAAAACCCAGCTAAGCTCTGTACAGCTAGAAAGGACCTCACCAGCTCGTTTAATGCTTCTAAGTGAACCACAATCTTACAAAAGAAAGAGCAGGTAGTCCCGATGGGCTATTTCTCCCTTGCTGTCAAAAGCAGAATACTGTGCTCTCTTTGTACCTGAGCTTCAGCAATCGGACACACAGAACTGGATGACAGGCCAGGCTGTTTAGCTGCACATCCAGAGGTGTAAATACCATTTACTAGCATTTCCTGAGAGGTAGAAGCTGGGAACAAGGGGAGGGAAGGACCATGGCAGCACCAGGTTTCTCTTCCCAATGCACCCGGGCCTGATTTATAACTCTGATCCATGAAGAGGCAAGTTTCACTCAATTCTGCAGGTAAACAGAAACCTTTGCATGTACCTATAAACTGAACATGCATCAGCAAAACTCAGGAACTTTTAAAAAAGCAGAAACTCAGGGGGTTGGTTAGCGTAAATGACAGTAAAATTCAGATGCTAACTTACAGTCAGTAAATGCCCAAACTACTATGGTTACATTTCCCTGTTTTACGGGAGAAACAAAACACAGAGAAGTGAATGGCTTGGCCTGATACGAAAGCCAAGGGAAGAACTAGGAATACAAATTAGAACTTTTGAATCTCTGTCCTTGTTTTGTCTAGACAAGGTTTCTCTGAATTTGGGTTCTCTTCCCGTTTGAAGTTCAATCTGGAAAAGGTAACATTGGAACAGATTTAAGCAAATATATCCAATCAGTCTCCGTGCATTTCAAACTCATTTTTAGCAGTTTCTGTTTATAGGATTAAAAAAAGCAGCCAGCATTTTTTGTGTCTCTGCTTGGTAATTTTCCTTTTCACTCTTAAGCAACTTGAAAATGGGCTGTCCTTTAGGTTAATATACACATTTCAGCATAAACAGCAAGGGGCATTTGCACGAGGAGTGAAAGAACAAAGGGCTTTCCAAATGTAAAACCTAAAGTCATATTAGGATCTGGACTGTGCCTCTTAAAACTAAATTCTCTTGGTTAAGTGAGTAGTTGTCAGCTTTTTTAATGCAAGGACAGAAGTTTAAAGTTTCTTGTAACACCTACAGCATTCATTCCAGAGGACTGATGCTGTTCAGTTCCAAACCATTGCCAACTCTCACATTCTTGCAAAGAGTAATCTTCTGGTTCCTAATATTTTGCTTATTTTCTCATGTGCTCCACAGCCCAACAAACTTCCCTGGCAACAAGTACCTGGGAGAAGTGGGGGGGATCTTGGCAACCTCAGCCAACGCACACAGCCGTACCGGGGCTGGCGAGGGAAGCTGCGGAGAGGGTGACGGCGTACGTGGGCAGGAAGCTAACGCGACCAGCGTGGGGACGAAGCAAGGCGCAGCGCGGAGGCGGGCATGGGGGAGGGTGTCGTGGAGACTGTGACGAGCGCGAAGCCAATGTGGGGGTCAGCTGCTCGCGGGTGGAAAGGGGAAACGGCAAAGGAAAGACTGCGAAGGCAAAACGAAGCCGAATTAGTGGCAGGGTGCAGGGGAGAGCCTAAAATCGAGGCAAGAGCTTGTTACCGAGATCAGCTGCAAAGGAAGAGGGACCTTCAGCAGATGTCAAGCTCCAGGGAGAGCCTGTTTCTACCCTCTTGATCAATTGCCTGAAATTCGGCAACTCTTTCGCACGCTAAGACAAGTCTAGGGTTTCCATGCTGTCATCCACTTTGGCTAGAAAAAGGCTAGTCCTTTGTAATACTGTGCTAAGTACAGTTTTCCCCTAAATTTAAAGAACACACTTAGGGCTTTTCCTCATTGATAATTAACTCAAGTTGTTATTAACTCAATTGTTGTCTCTGTGTCAAGTCACACCCACCCACAAAAGCTCTTAACTGAAGACCGGCTCTTCTTTTAATTTGAATTGGCTGTACATCAGACAATATATGGGAAGACAAGGATATGGCACAACTGAATAGCCACTAAAGAAAACAACCACCCTAGAAAGCAGACATGGACCAGCTCCACAAGCTCCTTCAATGGTGTGCTATTTATATCACTATCATGCTAAGGAGTCCTAGTTACATGTTAGGCTGCCACTGTCCTGATGTACTCAAGGATGAGAGACAAGAGAGATTTACAGAATTGTTCAGCTTACTGAAAACAAAAATATATGCTGTGTATCTTGTGAACGCAACGGATCGTGAACACATCTATTGATGGTGTGGAAACAGCAAATCTCTCTCAAATGAGGATATACGCAAGAGGAGCGACCTGAGTGCAAATCATCTGACTTGCATCCTAGTGAACGTTCATGATCTGTACAGAGCGTACTGAGCAGAACAAGGGATAAACGCTGCCAGCTAACAGCGGGGAACTCATGGTGAAACAGCCTTACAGGTACGCTTGCAGAAGGACTCAGATGCAGACAGCTCCAACTAGGCACACGATTTGCAAACGCCAACTTCTAATCAGCCAGGAGTTCAGAGTCAGACATCAGTTGCATTAATAGTATAGGTGAGAGCACTGAGGAAAATTAAAACCTCATACATCTTGACCGAGCAACTTCCCGCTGTTTTTAATTATGACCCTTATTCCACATGCGTCCGTACCATATGCTGAAAGGCATGGAAGAGGGATGACACCACCACAGAATTTGTGTTGGGGCTCACTCTATGACGTCTTTGGCATCCCAGCCATCTGTGGCACCTGAGCTTCCCTGGAAAACGATGGCCACTTTACATAAGGAAGCCTGGAACGGAACTTTGTGGACCCACACCTTGCTATTACTTCACCCCTTACTGACAAGACAAGTAATACATATGCGGACAAGGTGGAAGCGTTTTGCATCTGTTAACAGGGTCAATACTGAACCCTTGCCCTGAAAGAAGACTCAGGCCAGGGACTTTTTCAGAAAAAAAAGGAGAAAGACACAGAAAAAACAACCAACACACAGACACCCTGAGGGTTAGTTTTCAGCTCCATGAAATTTCTTTTATGATATGCATACAAGAAATGAGTAACGCTAACTTGTGACCTGCTTAGAGGATGTACCTAACTCCAAATTGTCTCTAAACAGAAAAGTCAGACGCCTTTCTAAAGGTACATAAATGAAGCACAATACACGACAGACACAATATAGACTGTGCAACCCTGGAGAATGTAGTGACACTCTTCTGACCTTGAAAAACAAATGAAATTCATACATAAAACTTTCAATCTTAACAAGCAGCAAATATTACAGTTTTGCTGCTACTAACGCAACTCTGTTTTGACCAACTAAGTACACATACAAAAATATTTCTGCCACTAATCCTGTTTTATTAGACCTTGGTCCTATGCCTTTCTGGGCTCTACCTAGCATGGGACTGCCCTGGAGCAGCTGGAGGCCATTCTCAAGCAGCTCTGCTTTGTGCTGACACATTAACAAGCACCGAAAGGCAATTACGCAGGCTGGGGATTGCCAGCAGCCCCTTCTCAGCACAAGGCCTGCCAAGAGCCGGGTGCTGCCCTGTGTGTCACCCAAGCCAGGCTCTTCCCTGCTGCCAGGGCAGGGCTGGGGTCTCTGCTGCAGGAACGGTGCAAAGTAGCCCAGGATCTGCCCTGATGCCATCAAGGACAACATGCTGTAACCACCCAAAAAGGCTTCATGGATTTGGAGTTGTGTGCCAACCACTGTAAAAATCTTCTGGCAAATGATTTTATGTGTCTTCACTATTATGCTCTGCAGCACCAGGAATAGACCTAACTATGCGGTTGCTAAAGTTTCTTTGGTGAAATACATGGACAGAAAGGCATTTTATCACGTCCTTTTACTGTGAGACACCAAGAGAAAACATCAGCTCATTTTTTATTTACAGAGTAAAAGAAAGCCAAGAGGGCTGAACAGAAGAGTTCCCCTTTTTTGTTTGAAATCAACATGGAGCTGGCTGAGTCAAGGTAACATAATAAAACAAACTGTTTAAACTCTGCTGATGGACTAAACTCATGTAAAAAAAGATGTTATTGTGTGCATACTTTATCAGAAACAGGATAATTGTTTAGGTGGACCATTATAACCATCAGCCTGACTCCAAACAGCTGCTGTAAAATTAAGATAGATACCTGTAACATTTCTTATTCTGTAACAAGTTCAACATGCTGCTTTTTGTCCCAATTCAGAGTCATATATTTTGAAGCTAGCCAGAAATCCAGCTCTTGCCTAAGAAGGGTCTTACCTGAATTTAACAAGACTTTTGTGAGTATTAAAAAAAAAAAGAAAGGCAAAAAGCATTTGTAAAATCTACAAGTTCTTCTCACACTTCAGCAAATATATCACCATGTTCACAATACTTAGTTAATAATTCAGGGGTATTTATGCTTTTAATCCAATTCCCCCAGTTGTGCCTGCATGCTGAAAGTGTTGGTCCTACTCCAGTTGGCCCTGCAATTTGCTGTGCGCTCCCCCTCCCTCTGTGCACTGAACGTGGCAATTATGTGCCGTGAAACAAAATAGTTTAATAAGTTGATATCAGAGGGGAAGCTACGTTGTTTTGGGTTTTTTTTACAAGTTGTTTTTCCACTGTAGCAACTTGCTGAGTCCGTTCACCACACAGCCACATGGCCTCTGCATGTGGTGTGAGGAAAGTGGTAGGAGTGCACAACCAGAGATGGAGGGAAGAGCAGGATGACTCTTTTGAGAGCGGCCCACACATCAGCTGTCACACAAAACTGCAGCCCGTGGGGAGGCCTGGACAGGCATGGCTCTGTAGCAGCACAGTTTGCCTCAGATCTGACTGAGGCCAATATTGCTGTCGACTTCCCCACAGTGCCTGTCCCAGCTCCCATGGTGCAAAATCACATGAGGGGCAGCTTCAAGGAATCCATCAGCTCCCTGAAGTGGCTGGCTGAGGGGTCACAAAAACCAGTGTAACAATAAGAGAAGAGATGAGGCAGTGGCAAGCAAGATATATATTGGTTAAGTTGTGGCAGGGTTACGCTGTTTCAGTCTTCCTTTCTCATAGCTGCCAAATTTAATTCCTCTGGTTCTTGTAAAAGTTTCCAGGAAAGGGTTCTGCTGCTATCCCATTGGTTCTGTCCTAGCAGCAACTCACATTGCTACTGGGATTTAAAAAAAAAAAAAAGTGGGGCAGGAAGCAACTATCCAAAAGATTTCATCACGTGATGAGAGTGAGGAGACACAGAAAGGGAAGAGTGTTTCTCAACAGAAGATTTTTCGGAAAAAGAAATAAGGCTTCACCACAAAAGCAAAAGCAGGACAAACAAAACTCCACTGCCCTGCAAAGTGATTTAGGTAAGTTCTACTCACCATTGAAAGGGTTAATCTTCTTTGAGATTCGTAAAGAAATTGATTCCTTCAGGTCTTTCTTCTTCACACACTGAATGCCCAAATTCTGAAAACTGAAGGACATGTGGCAGGATTTCAGCAAATAGTAAAATCTTCAGTGTAGAATATTAATTAAACTATGGGGGGTGTTGACTAGTGTAATATCATACAGTGTAAGAAATGAAAAAACCCAAAACTTATTTTGAGGAGGGTGTAAAAGATCTGAAAAGCAAGGATGCTCTTTTTTCTAAAGTAAGAGCAGAAACAGAAGTGAAAAACATTAAAATAAAATTCTAAAGAATCTATATTCTATATTAAGACTATCTATTTCTATATTAAAAGTTGTTACTCCACAGTAAACCTACAGCGATTAAAAGTCAAATACTTAATTTTGAGTAATTTAAAGTAACCATTACTTTTGTTATCAATAAACCCGTTGACCTGCATTAGTTGAAGATTTGCTCTCCTGCTTTTACCAAGGAATGTAGATTTCAAACCCTATTTTAAAGGGTTTTTTGAAACAAGTCAAAACTAGTTTTTAAATCTCACGTAGTTATGGAAAAGTTCTGAAGAGCTGCAGCTCCTCCTGATTTGCATAAGGGTGCAGGTCACCGCGATGTAGGAGGTGGGGGGAGTCCCAGGCAAGCT